CATCAGAGATGAGGTGGCCCCTGGCAAGGGTAGCCTGGTGCAGGCCTGGGAAGGATGGATGTGAGGAGAGGCAAAAGATAAGAAGCCACGTTTTCCTGTGGGAAGTCTGCCTGACCCGTGCTTCCTGCAGGCCCAGAACTTTCTCCACTGAGAATCTCTCACTCAGAATTCTGTTTCCAAAACTCCAGAGAAATAAACATTCTGTGTCACCAGGCACCTGCAAATATGCTTTCAGAAGAGCAAAAGATGTTTTCAAAGTTGCTGGGCAAAATGAGCTGAGGATGGTGACCCAGATATAGTATTCAGATATAGGTCCAGGTTGTCCATTCCATGAGGCAAACAAGCTCCACAAGTAATATTGAAGGATTTCTCAACTTGCTCTGCAATGATTAAAATGATGTTCAAAGTAAAGGCTAGATAACTATTTTGCAACCTCTAAAATACTTTCTAGATAGCTAATCAATCTTTTAATTTCTAGTTGTTCAAAAGATATACAGCATATTTTAGAAATGGGCAAATCTTCTGAAAATATATTATGTAATTCCTCTTTCTTAAATCAGTGTTCCTAAATAATTCTAATCTTTAATGAGGATGCTTATCTATTGAGAACATGAACTAACTGGTTCTCTGCATGACAGCCTCAGGCTTTGAGATAAGTGAAACTGATATTCCCTTCTTAAATAATCCCAGGTGTTGTGCTTTTTAGTTTCTTACATCAATGTTTTATAATTATTGTTTCTTTTTTCATGATTAGATTGATGGATATTGGCGCTGACATTGTTACTGAACTTATATCTCTACTATCAGTTTAATCAGTCTAGTATTTACACTGATTCTTCACATCTATTTTCAGAAGCACAGTATAAGGATGTTTATTAAAATCATTTGTAAAGCAAGATCAAGAATGCTCCAAACAAGGACTTAGATGTCTCTTAATAATAGTCACAAATATTAAAAAAATTTCTTTCCCTTCCTACTTGATAGTCAATATCCCACACAAGACCTCTGTAAACACCTTGAATGTGAACACAATCCTGGAGAAGATAATTCCTTGAGTATATACTGATTCTGAGCTCCAGAGAGCAAGTACTGACTCCCAAGACTAATCCTATTTTCCTGTGCATACATGTTTATAGAACTGTTGCTTTACTTCAGAAATATAACTAGGAGGGAGAAAACAACAAAAAACCAGTTTACTTTTATTAAAAAACTCCTCTCAGAATAACTAATGTACCCTCAAGGTAGCGATATTGATCCCCTCATGAGGGTGGAGCCCCCAGCATATAATTATTTCTTAAAGGTCCCAACAATTCAAACACTGCTGCAAAGGGGACGAAGCCTCAGTATGAGCTTTGCTGGGGACAAACCGTACTCAAAACATAGCAATTTGCAAAGGCTCTCATTGGAGCACAAGTTATGCTATTCTTTGTTGTATCTATTACTCTTCTGCACTGAAATGGCAGAACCCTAGACAGGGTATTTACCAAAATACCAGGAAGGGGAATGAAGAGAGGGGAAACAGTGAGCCATTTCTCTTTGCTGAGCACTGAGGGAATATAATAAATGGTTACAGGGAAGGCTCTGTGTTCCCAAAGAGTTTTGATATCCCTGAGAACCACCCCCCTTATCATTCCCGGGGACATCTCATCAGTGACGTCAGTCTGCCTGGAGCTCTCTGCTAAGATAGCAAGGAGAGAGTGCCAAAGAAGGAATGTTTCTTAACTTAGGCCAGTTGGAGGACAATTCTGAAATGGAAATCAATCATTTATGAAAATAAATGAAAGAGAGCCACGCCTGCAACAGGGCATGGCCTGTACTGCATAGCAGCAGTGCCAGATTGCATGACTGGTCACGCTGGTGAGGGCAGGGCTAACCTTAGGCAACTGCTAGGTGACAGTCCCCATTCCTAGTGCCTCAGAATGACTGTCCTGTACCTGAAATCCATACTGGAACCTCACAGACTAAGTATAGCAGTAACCTGACAACTACTTTTCTATTCTATTAGAAGATTCTTGATTAATAAGAATTTTAAGGAATATTTAAGGATAATATATCAAGCTTTTATAATGTAGGGGAGTATTCTGTGGGTGGAATCTTGTGAAACACTCCATAAGAACTTTGTTTTAGGTGCTGCCGCCACCTTTGTATCTCCATTGTTGTTGTCATCTGGATTATTTCTACTGCTTAAAATATCACAAGATGTGCATGCAGTAAATGCCTGTTACATGAATAAACTAATGAGGACCATAAAACTTTTGCCAATGCTAAGTAATCATTACAATGCATCCTTTAGAAGGGTCCCAAGTCTAGTATGTCTTGTGTTGCAAGGAAATGCCCAATAAAATCAGGAATAAAAACTGAAATAACAACATGAAATCAGTTGCTTAATTCTAGGTAGTAGAGACAGAAAGCTTAAGAAGTAAGTGTAGTAGCTGCTCATTGGAAACAAAAATATTAAAACTCTTAACAAAAGAACACCAGTTAAAAGACATCAGGTTCACACAGGGATAGGCAAAGAGTTCATGAACAAAAACAAAACTGCATGAGAAGTACTTCAAAAAATCAACAACTGGGATCTCATCTTATTAAAAAATTTTTACACATCGAAGGAAATCACCAACCGAGTGAAAAGAAAACCCACAGAGCAGGAAAAGATTTTGCCAAATATCTCAGACAAAGAACTTCTATCTAGAATACATAAAGAATTGAAAAAATAGCTCCCTCCCAAATTCAAAGACCCAATCCAAAAATGGGCATCTAAGATGAATATATAATTCTCTGATGAAGAAATACAAATGGCAAATAAATATATGAAAAAATGTTCAACATCATTGGTCATTTGAGAAATTCAAACTAAAACAACACTGAGACTGCATCTCATTCCAGAAAGAATGGCTAACATCAAGAAATCAACCAATAACAAATGCTGAAGGGCTACAGGGAATAAAACAATCCTCCTCTATTGTGGATGGAAGTGTAGACTGCTGTGAAACCACTGTGGAAATCAGTTTGGAGAATCCTCAAAAAACTAGCAGTAGAAGTTTCATTCCCCTTCTGGGTACATTCTCAGAACTGAAACCATCACAGTGTTATATGTGCACCAATGTTTATTGCAGCACCATTTGTAATAGCTAGATCTAGGAAACAACCCAAAAGCCTATCAACTAAGGAATGGATTTAAAAAAAAGATGTGGCATTTTTATACAATGAAGTACTACTCAGCCATAAAGAACGATAAACTTGAGGCTTTTATAGGTCAGTGGTGCAACTAGAAACCATACTTGTAAGTGAAATAAATCAGAATTGCATGGGTAAACACAGTGTTGTCTCGCTAGTGTAAGAAACTGAAAGATTAAATAAGATCCAAAAATTATAAGAGATATAGTAAAAGGGAAAGAAACTGCTCAAAGGGAAATTATATTGTTTGATCAATTTTGCATGTCTGTATCCGGTCACCTGAGCAAGTCTTTTGAAGATAATAATATGCAATATAACAATTGTTAAATTTCTATCATCTGGGTTTGAAATCTTAAATCGCTTTTTTTCTTTTTTGCTTCTTTTGCTGTTGGGCTTTGTTTGTTTGTTTGCTTGCTTCTTGATTTTTTCTGTTTTTTTCTCTCTCTCAAAAAAAAAAGACATTGGTCTCTCAGGTGGTCACAACAGTAACTAATCTTATGAGGTAAAGCCCATTCACCTTTCCCAATGAGTCTTGACCTATCTTCTCTAAAAAGATATGCATAGACCTACTTGGTGTGAGGAAAATGGTCTTTTCAAAATTGCTACTATAAACACAGGATGAAAGACAATATAACTGCTCTGAGATCTACAAATTGCTAAATTAATCCAGGAAAATACATTCTTCAGATAATCACATTTGCTGCCTAGACTTTCTCCAAGTTGTTAAACCCTTATTAAAAAAAAAAAAAAACAATCTGTCATCCTTGATTATGCAATTCCTGTCTTGGAAACTCAGCCACTGCCTCCCCCTTCCCCAGGAGAGTGCCCCAGTCTTTAAACTCTTGTCTTCTCTACAGTCCTGCATCACCAGCCTCCAAATGCCGACTTCAAGGGGAGGAAATAGCATCCCTGAGCAACTACAGACAGGACCTCTGTGACCATCAGTGAGTAACCAAGAGAGGAGTGAAAAGATGGGAATCCGAGCTAATCATCAATATCAAAGATATTGCTTAATCATTAGAATTCTTTAAAGATCCCACCAAAACTCCCTTTTTAACAGGAGAAAACTTATGAGTAAATAAGGAGAAAATACTGTTTATTTTCTTTTTATACCGATGGGTCAACTCCCTAAGCTAATTGTAAGTCTAAAAATTAGTGGGTTCAGCTAAAGACCGCAGCGTTATCTCCAGTTTTCTTAGTATGGCATAAATGAACGTGATAGCTAAAAAGACACTTTAAGATTGCAGTGGCTCCCCAGGGAGGCAGAATCCGTCCAGCCCAGTAAGTGGGCCTATCTGGACCGTCGTCAATGTCCTGGTGTCACACATAGTGTAGCTCCTTCCAGGATCGGTGCCGCCCCGGAGTTGATACCTGGCAATTCCAAGTAGGTAGCTGGCCTCCAGCCGGTAAGGCCCTACACCCAGCTACCGAATCGTTACGGAGCTAGGGCGGGACCTCGGGGGACTCCTCCAATGAGAGTGCAGGGAGTGGTGGGAGCGCCGGGCCCGGTCTCACGGGGCAGCCTGAGCTCGCACCCTGGATCTGGGGATGTGGGAGGCTCCGGGAGCTGAGGCGTGCGCGGCGGCGCTCCGCGGCGCGCTCTTCCTGCTGCTTTTCATGCTGGCGGTCCGCCAGCTGTTAAGGCAGAGGCGGTCGGTGCGCTTCCCCCCGGGGCCGCCGGGGCTGCCACTCATCGGCAACCTCGTCTCCCTGGCCGCCTCCGCAGAGCTTCCCCACGTCTACATGAGAAAGCAGAGCCAGGTGTACGGCGAGGTACCGGCCCCACGGGCAGGGTGGGCCCCGTCCAGTGCTGGGGCCGGCAGGGCCTTCCGCCCTGAGGGAATCCTGCTTGGCGGGCGGAGAAGGGACAGGTCTTCGCAGCAATACGGGTACAGGAGTCCACGCGCGTACTTTGCCCGAAGCGCTAAGCCGACCTGGCGCAACTTTCCCGCCTCCGTCGGGCGGGCTCCTGCGCCTGCGCCTGCGCCGTACTGGCCGCGCCTGGCGTGCTCTCGGACGGGCGCCTGTGGGCTGAACGCTGGGCGCCTGGAGCCTAGCTGGTTCTCCCCCTCGGCCGTGGGAAAGGCGGGGCAGTGTGAGCCCTGAGGCAGGATTAATGGTCTCTGGGAAAGTCCTTCGATGTTTACAGCTGACCAGTGAGGGTTGGGCGTTTGCTTTGGGAATTATGAGAACGCAAGTGAAAGACCCTGGCCAGATGGGCTCTGGTAAATGATTTTTGGAAGTGTAAAACCAAGTTAATTTTTAAGAGCCGTCGTGGGCATCCTACGGTACAGAATGCGCTTCACTAATCGGGCTGCATTAAAACCCTGTGCGCTGATCTCGCTGTCCAGCAAAGTAGATACTTGGGCTTTTACAGATTTTCCAGAGGGAAACTAAGCAGAAATGCTAAGCGTCTGACAGGAAGAAAAGAGAGAACGCATTCTGTTTGGAAGGGTGTCTTTACTTCCTTCAGCAGGTGGTAGACGTTTCCAGACTACCGGACTTGTCCAAAGCTGACCTGTTTTGTTTTTAGTGACTTTCATTTTTATGGACTCAGACCAGGATCTTGGCTGATGCTAGGAATAAAAAGATAAAGAAGGCAAACATAACCTTGTTTTAAGGAGTTACAGTGTGTGGGGAGAGAGAAAATTAATCTGATTATTCCCCACAAATGAGTTAAGTGCTTTGAAGAAAAAAATTGCAGGGCTGTTGAGTAATTGTATCTCAAGGTGTTGCTTAAATCCTTAATTATGTTAATCTTTGCTCAACTATACTATAGATTGGTGCTTAAGTCAGTTTTTACAAAAATTATTACAGGTTTCTGTAGCTCAGTGATTCACTTTGCAAAAGAGAAGCTGAATTAGGTAGAAAAAAAGCTGTACATGTCATTCCTACACTCTATTTTCCATCTTCCAGTTCTCAAAGAATTGAGTTTATTTCCATTTAGTATATTTGACCTCTTTGATATGTTGGGGTTTTTTGTTTGTACAAAGTATAATATTCTGGAGATTGTAAGATGTGAAAGCATGACCTAAAGTTGACACCACTTCTGCCAGATAAAATTTGAACATTTCTTGTCTGAAATCTAATCTTTTTGCCTGGCTAGAGTAATGAAAAGTGAAAACAGTAAATTTCTATTCAAATATTGGTTATTTTTTGTATTCTTGATTACTATGTACAAAGTATATTAAGCCTGAAAGTTTAAAAATATTTTAAAACTAGTTATTGGAAATGATTTCTCAAAGAATAGGAAATTAAGATTTTCATATATGATTATCTAAACTGAAAAGTTTACATTAATTTGAATATTTCTTTTGGATGGGTTGATGTAAGTCTTCTGTCGTAGTAGGTTCCACATTATGAATGTACTGGAAGAATGGATGCACATACATTACTGGGGTCTGATGTTTTTAATTCTTCTGGAAGCCTATCCAGAAGAATAGCTGGGTTAAATGGGACCTCTAATCCTAATGTTTTGAGGAATCTCCATACTGATTTCCACAGTGATTATACCAGTCCGCACTCTCACCAACTGTGGAGAAGGATTCCTTTTTCCCTGCAACGCCACCAGCATTTATTACTGGTTGATTCCTTGATGATAGCCGTTCTTTCCAGGATGAGATGCAATCTCAGTGTTGTTTTAATTTGCATCTCAAACTGGTCAATGATGTTGAGCATTTTTTCATACATTTACTTGCCATTTGTATTTCTTCATTTGAGAAGTATATTCATTTCAGATGCCCATTGTTGAACTGTCCGTAACCTGAATCTTTACCTTGAAATGTATCCCCACTCTGTTTCCTCTATCACAGCTTTTGTTGAGAAGGGCCTTCACTATTGTTATGAAGCCATCAATTTGTTTTTTTCCTGCGTCAGAACCACTTCCTATTAATAGATTCTAGCCTTTTATTGTCTTTGCTAAAATCACATGTGTGGCGGGAGGGGACTTTCCTCTAAAAATAGAGTATTACTGCATTTAGCGCTGAACCTCTTTGCTTAGCTGGTAGCCATTCTCTTTGTGCCAAAAAAATTCCCTTCCGTTGCTCTCACTGATACTTTTGATTAATACCACTGCTTATGGCAGGCAGTTCATGCCCTTTCCCCAAAGTTCTAAATGTGAGTTCTAGGGCCCAAACTTGTGCCAGAGATTGGTAGCCCCAATTTTTAGCTGAGATTAATTCTATTTCCACTTAGCAATATTTATCACTTTTGCCAATATACAGTAATTGCTTTTGCAGAATTTTTGTTCTCTACTAAACCTATTTTCTTCTGCAGCGGTGTATACTGTGGCTAAATCTGCTTTACTAATTTGCATAGAGATAAGGCCTATAAATATTTTGGCTCTCAAAAGTCTGACAAAATGATGGTAAATAATCTTTGCATCCTACTGGTAAGGCTATATTGTTTCTTACTGGACTAAGCTCTTCTATTGGACTACTTGGAATATGTGAAACAAATAAGATTCATGTTTTATTTTGCCTTTCTCTTAGTTGAAGTGGTTTATGCATAACTGGCAGATGTCTTTCTTCCACAATTACATTCCCTTTAGGTCCTCTATAAAGTTAATGTCTAGAACAGAAAGCTGAATAAAATGAGCCTACTTACAGTACATTCATGTATGTCGTAGTGGTCTCTCAGGCCTTTGTCAGTTCCCTTCCTGCCTAAGCCAGGAGTAGTAATAGGAAGATGGTGCTGCTTCTTTCATCTTGGAACTGACAGGAGATTCCTTTATACTGAACATTTTGAGGTGAAGTGTATTCTAAAAGAGCATCTAAACCAAATATATTTTCTATGGCAACACTGAAGCCCAGAAAGGTTCATTGTTGTGTCCAGGATCTTTTATCTGTTTAGTGCCAAACCATAAACTAGAGCCCAAGCCTCTGTATGGTTCAGGCACTGAACAACGCAGTGAATCACACTGTCTAAACATTTGTCAGTTAAGTAATAAATGTTTACATTTTCAAGAAAGTAAATACTGGGAGAGTTAAGCTTAGGACATATCGATTTCTCTGATCATATATCTTTCTAATTTTTCCATTTAAATGTTTTTCTTTTCAAAGATTTTCAGTTTGAATCTAGGAGGCATATCAATGGTGGTTCTGAATGGCTATGATATAATAAAGGAATGCCTTGTTCATCAAAGTGAAATTTTTGCAGACAGACCATGCCTGCCTTTATTCATGAAGATGACTAAAATGGGAGGTATGTTTATTTTCCACTACTTGTTCATGAATAATTTTAAATCACATCCTTTATTTTAAGCAATTTAAGTATATACAGTTGGAATTCTTTTGTACTGATTAACAAGAAGTGTTGATACACAGAACCTACTTCCTTGCAGAACTTAGCATTTGAGGACTTCTGAATGCATTAATGTCTTATACCATTACATGCTAATTTTATTGAAAGTCAGTTCTAATAAATATTGTAAATTATATTCGTAAGGAATTAAGTATCTGCAACTCTTATAAAACAAGGAGTGCACACACACACGAACAAAAGTGTCCCTTTAATGCCAGACTTGAATATATGGTGACATTTTCAGTATTGTTTTGCTTCTGATAGAACCTAAAGTAGCCCTTTTTAACTGCTCATGCTGTGTGAATGCAAAGCTGTGGGGGCAGAGTTATATAAAAGACTAGCATTCTGTATGACAGTGATATGCAACAAGAGAAATGCTGAAAGTTGACAAAATTGGAAAGAAAAAAGCAGCAAATGAAATCCTAAAATAGTGTAGAAATCAGATGCAGTGATTTTTTATTTTAATTAAGTTCATTGATGATTTTTTTTTGAGACAGGGTCTCACTGTGCAGTTCAGGCTAGCCTTGGGCTCACTTTGTAGCCCGGGATAGTCTTGAACTTGCAACGATTCTGCTTCAGCCTCCCAAGTGCTGGAATTACAGGTATGCGCCACTGGCTTGTTGATACATTTTAGGTATACAAAATGATCATGTCATAGGGAATTTGTACCCCTACATGTTACATTTTCTTTCCTCTTTTTTTCCTAATCCCCTCTGCTCCCTTCAACTCATCTTTCTCTCACTATTTACAAAGCGTGGTTTCTGTTTTCTTTATTTAACAGTTTCTTCCAAATTCACAGTATCTGTTGTACATTTTGGTCTTTATGTAACTCTTTCATTTTCTCACACCAGGAAAGGCAGTGTTTACACATGAGTCAAATTTATTTCACTTAAGAGTACGGTCTCAAGGTACATCCATTTACCTAGAAATGCCTCAAACTAATCCTTCTTTGACCCAGTAGTACTCCATTATATTTTTTAAAACCACATCTTCCTTATCTATTCCTCAGTTGATTGGTTGTTTCCAAGATTAGCTGTTACAAAGTGTGCTGCTACAAACATGGGTGAGCATGTTATGCTGTGGTATGATGTTTTTAAATCTTCCAGAAGAATTAAAAACAGATACAATGATTTTAATACTATAATAATTTTTTTAGTTTTTCTCTAATGAGAAATTGACATTTAACATTGAAAGAAAAAAGTAACAGTGCTTAGAAAAACTAAATGGTATCCACATCCAGAACTATGCCAATTCCAATCAGTGGACTAATTTAGCACCACACACCCTTAATACCAGTATCACATGCCCTAGATCTAGCTACCTTTGAAAAACCCCAGCTATGAGTGCATGAAATTTTGGGGAGATATCTAAATACAAGCCATAACAGAAACCTAAATGATAAAAATGAAAGATGAGATGATAACATTTGATTCAAAGTATATATTTTTTAAAGCTTTAAGTTGATAGTTTAGGCTGTTTTATCATAAACAATATTAAAATTAACATTAAATTTGATATTTCCAAAAACAATAAGAGGAAGATAAGTAGAAAATTATTTATGTTATTTTTAAGATACCAGGACCCTGGCTTAGGACCATCGATCTTTTCAGAGGTATGACAACAGAATAAAATGCAAACAAAACATGTACAGAGACTCTATTTTTGTGCCAATTTATTAATATTAATTAGTGTCTGCCGTGTACCACATCAAGCTGGTCCTCAGCATAAGGCATGTATGCACTGATCAATTAAAAGCTCATGCCTGCCACTAGCCCATTGTGTAATAGGAAAAAGTTTCTCTTTGGGTGGACTTAGCCACATACCCAGGGACGCACTGTGGTCAGCATGGTTCCCATGTACCTTGTACATGTGTCCCATACGCACAGATTCTTCCAGGCTGTTCTCATCTTCCTGCCTTTGTGCCAGCTGTTGCCTCTACCAGCAGTGATCTTAATCTGGATATTTGCTTGATTCCTCATCTCATTGAAGTTTTTACTCAAATGTCACCTTCTATGTGAGCCTTTCCGTGACTACCTAATCTATAGTTGTCTATGGTCTCTCCTGATGGTAGCTTCATGACACTAAGGATCTTTGGTTCTCTTTTTCACTGATAAGTCTGACATTTTAGAACACTTCCTAAATTATAGTAGGTGTTCCATAAAAACATGTTAAATAAATATTTATTGAATGAATAATTGTCTGGGGATATGGAAAATAAAAATGAATTATGAGAGTATATAATTACCTCACCACAGACCCACTAACATATGGCTAACTTTAAAAAGCTCCAGATTTGAAAATGGTTGCACACATGTTGCTGGAATGTAAATTTTATATGTGCATCACATATATAAGAGAACACAAGTTCACATCATTAATATACCTATGTCCCTGCAATAAATGAATCCCACGTAAAGTACATGTTTACATAAATTGTGCACTGAGAACATTGGGTTGCTTCCTTGATAGTTAATTTAAAGGGGAAATTTCCATAGTAGTAGCCACATCATAACAGCAAATAAGCTATGGAGATTCTGGAATTTTGTGGCAAGCAATATCAACATTTGAAAAGCTTGATATTCTTGTTTCTCATTTTATTTTTTATTTGGTTTTGATCGATGCATTTCTGTTACATTGATAACTTAAGGATAGCCTTTCTTCTGCCATTGTTAGGTTGTTGAGTATCAAAAATCTTTATCCAGAAGGTAATTTCTATTCTAAAATCCAGTATCTTTTATAAAGAAAAATTCTAAACCTAGAAAAATGATTATTCAGGCATTTATTTCAGGGTAAAAATTTTCCTACACAATATGCAATCATTTGTCTTTTATAAATTAGGCTTACAGTAAAAGTTAAATAATAAAATTACCTAGGCCTAGTTTATCTGCCCTGAATCACATAAGACTGACTCATTCCTTATGGTGGGAGAACAATATCTTTTTTTCAGTCCTAAATGAGGAATATATAGGTTTTATCAGTTATAATATTGTATCACCACTGAGTTGCAGAAAATATGACCCAGCCACAGAGTTATATAGAAGGATAATTTGGGGAAAATCACTGTCCATTTAGAAAGATTTTTTTTTAAACACCATAATATTTTCAGCTACTTACTACTTTTTTTTCAGGGTTACTGAATTCCAGATACGGTCGAGGATGGATTGATCACCGAAGATTAGCCGTAAACAGTTTTCGATATTTTGGATGTGGCCAAAAATCTTTTAAATTTAAGATCTTAGAAGAAACCAATTTTTTCATTGATGCTATTGAAACATACAAAGGTAGACCTTTTGACTTTAAACACTTAGTAACTAATGCTATTTCAAATATAACTAATCGGATCATTTTTGGAGAAAGATTCGCTTATGAAGACACTGATTTTCAGCACATGATCGAGTTATTTAGTGAAAATGTGGAACTAGCTGCCAGTGCCTCCATCTTCCTGTATAATGCCTTTCCATGGATTGGCATCTTGCCTTTTGGAAAACATCACCAGCTGTTTAAAAATGCAGCTGTGGTCTCTGATTTTCTCTCCAGACTTATTGAAAAAGCTTCAGTCAACAGAAAGCCTCAGTTACCTCGGCATTTTGTTGATGCTTATTTAGACGAGATGGATCAAGGTAAAAATGACCCATCCTCTACTTTCTCCAAAGAAAACCTAATTTTCTCGGTGGGTGAACTCATCATTGCTGGAACTGAAACTACAACCAATGTTCTACGCTGGGCAATTCTTTTCATGGCCCTTTATCCCAACATTCAAGGTGAGGATTCCCTTAATGATCCCATGGTCTATCCTTAATTTTAGGGTTCATATATGTTTCTGTCTTCAGCCATGCATAACGCATTTTTAAGCAACTGGCCAAGAAGAGAAATGTTTCATTTTTTAAGAGTTTTCAAATTTACTGTCTCATTATATGTTAAGAAAAAAAACTCTGAAATAGATTCTATTATACCCCATTAGTAAATGAGGACAAAAGCTGGCTGACTGGAAATGATAGAGCTGGGACCTATATTCTGGTTTTTCTCATTCAGTGCTTCACTATTTTCTTGACTGAGAGTAATGTCACTTCAATTCTGGGTTTAACACATTCACTACAGGGCTGTAATTCATATGTTTCACTGCCAGACAGCTTGAACCACCAGTGTTATATACATGACTGTCCCGCATTTGGCGGCTTTTTGTTAATTTTATTAGTAAAAAGACCAATGAAAGTGATTAGACCTGATTATAATACCAGAGGTATAAGCCACCTATTGGGACAGTCATCCATGTGCCACTGGTGGTTCAAGCCAGCAGGAATGTGTTCATTTTTGTTCTTAATCTTTTTAATGTGTTTTTCATGACCAAGTTACTCAGGTGTTAGCTACTACTGATATAAGATACATAGCATGTATTTAAATAAAACTTCCAGATAATGAAAAATTTAAATCTAGGTGCACCCATATCCTGTTGACTTATTATATATTATCATTTGCCCAAAGAGTAATTACTCTGAATACCATTCTGAGAATTGTATAATAACCTCAATGTTTTTTCTCTGACAGGACAGGTTTGGAAAGAGATTGATTTAATAATGGGCCCAAATAGACAGCCTTCTTGGGATGACAAATGCAAAATGCCATATACTGAAGCAGTTTTGCATGAAGTTTTAAGATTCTGTAATATAGTCCCATTAGGGATTTTCCATGCAACCTCTGAAGATGCAGTTGTACGTGGTTATTCCATTCCAAAAGGCACAACAGTAATTACAAATCTTTATTCTGCACATTTTGATGAAAAGTACTGGAGAGACCCAGAAGTGTTCTATCCTGAACGATTTCTGGACAGCAGTGGAGATTTTGTCAAAAAGGAAGCTTTGGTTCCTTTTTCCTTAGGTAAGAGAACTTTACAGGAATGTAAAGCACAACAATGAGTTATCATGTATAGCATGTTAATCTGAAGCTTCTTTCTCTAAAATCAAGTATTCTAACTCTCAAAACATTGATTCCTCTAGAAGAGAGTCATTTGACTAGAGGTAATTAAAACCTGACTCTATGTAAAATCTTTACTTTTTAGCTAGAGTAAAACTGTTGAAAAACTCTGGCTTCTTCTGAAACTTTTGCTAGTGGATTTTTAGTTTGTAATCAAACTTGGACAGCTAGAAGTTGGTAATAGGAGACTTGTTAAACTTGACACTCAGAAAAAAGAAGAATAAAGCACCTTGAACTAAAACTAGAATCTAGCCCTCTTGCCTTCCAATTTATTGTCTCGTCCAACTAGGAGATACTGCTTCTGGTATGAAACAGGATACAGATCATAGACTGAGGGAAGATAAATCAAGAGCTCTTACTAATCATTGAAAAAATACACATTTAGTCCATTCAAATGAAACAGGACTTCTCGTGACAATATAAAAAATATCATACCTCAAATTAGATCTTTCATAGTATATCTTAGGTCAGTGGCAGCAAACCTATGGCACAGGTACCCCAGTGGGCTGTTTGTATCATTGAAAACTAAAAGGTTGACAGTCACTGCATAAGCTCTTTTGCAGTGTGTAAGGAAAGTCAGAATTGGGACTAAAGTCTTAGAAAAGTTTATGATCTGACATAAGGAAGCAAAACACTGATTCCAGAAGCTGAAATGCTAATTTCTATTCTTTGGGATTTAAGAGAATCCTTTAATCAATATAACTTTCTCTAATTTACTTTAAACTCCATATTTCCCAAGTGTTATGCAAATATTATACATAAGTTTTGCTAAATGTGGGTTTCAGAAGCTTCTATGTCTCTTTTTCTGTTTAGGGCGAAGACACTGTCTTGGAGAACAGCTGGCTCGAATGGAAATGTTCCTGTTTTTCACAGCATTGCTTCAGCGGTTTCATTTGCATTTTCCGCAAGACCTAGTTCCAAATCTGATGCCCAGGTTAGGTATGACACTGCAGCCCCAGCCTTACCTCGTCTGTGCTGACCGGCGCTGAAAGGGCCTAGACTTTTAAGGAGTAAGGATATGTGTTTGCCTTAGGCCAAATCTTGTGTAATCTAATCAGCATAATCTTTAGAAAAAAGTCACAGTATCAAAAAGCCAAACAAATGTGTCATTAGAAAGAGCAATAACGAACGCTAACTATGGTTTCTTTTGTGAGGAACATGAAGGTGCAAGTGACAGATGTTGCATAAGATGCTCAGAAGGTCTGTGGAATATGGATTTAACCTTAGTCCTGCCCCATCTATTGAATACTTTCAGGTTTCTAAATTATAAAAATGTTTTTGCATCTCTGATGTATTAAGATTTCTTCAGTTTCAGGGAAAGAGAATCCTATGCAAATTTGCTTAAATAATCAAAGGAAACTTGGAGGTAATATGGAAGTTTTAGAGTTAGTATAGCCCAGATGCTTCATGATATAATCAAAGGTCCTGTATCTTCCCATTCTTCAGTTTTGCCTGCCAGATGGTATCAGCTTTGTCTTAGGCCCAGCTTATGGAGGAGTGCATGTGTTTTCCCCTCCTGCATGCACAGTGAACTAATTGAGATTGTTTCTGAGACAGCACGTTAAGCTTTCCTTATACCCTCCAGAACACTGTTACTTGTGTCCCAGAGGGTCCTATCTGAGTCACATGCCCATACATGAACTTAAACCTATGTTTTGTGAGTGGAATTGGTGGTTTACTTAGGCCTAAATATGTGCCTACTAGAACTAATGGAATTGACTTCCTGTCAAAGTGCATGTCCTATATAGGAGTGGCATAAACAAAAATCAGGATAATTATGAAGAGAAGAATTCTAAGTCAAAGACCATTTATAATACCTACCTTACTTGCTTCTACCTGCTTTCCAGCCTACCTTTGTGAATCTTGACAGATGTACTCATAGATCTTTAATATTTGTCCTTTCTTTGGCACAGCAAATCTTTTATCCCTGGACCTCTCCCTTAGTATCATACTGCATATAAACAGTAAGCCTAAATTGAACTCCCGGAATTTCAAAGGCTTGGCAGTCCTACTAAGCAGTGTAGCTTTGTGTACTGAAGTAGACTGTAAGAAAAGTTGAGGAATCCTTATTTGTGCCATATGTTTAATTTAAAACTGACAAGTATTAGAAAGTTAAGCATATGCTATGGTTTATATGCAGATGTTCCCCAAGAATGTACTCAGAGGTAGGGCCTTTGAAGGGTAATTGAATCATGGGAGTAATATAGCTAAAAGTGGTATTAGGAGATAGGCCCTGGTTGAAGAGGTAGCTCACTGGGGCCATGATCTGTAAGGATGTCTCCCTCCCTTGCTTGTTCCTTTTCTGTCTATTACCCAGTTGTCCTGACATGAGATTTCTTCCCAGACCATTCTTCCATGATGTTGTATGTTGAAGCCTGAACATGAACTGAAACTTACCAAATAAACCTCTTTTTTTTAATTGTAGATGTCAAGTGTTTTTTTCCAGTGATGAGGAAAGTGACTAAAACACAATATTTTAGAGAACAAGAAATAAAGGATAATATTGCTTAAAATTTGGTACTGAGAGATAGGAAAGAATTGCATACAAGCTAATTTTTTTTATTCATAGAAGAGAATCTGATGCTGTAAGAAATAGGATCCAAGCTAAGTGTGATAGCACACACTTGTAATCCCAGTACTCTGGAGGCTGAGGCAGAAGGATCATCATGAGTTTGAGGCCACCCGTAGAGATACAGTGACTCTAAATTTAAAAAAAGAAAAGAAACAAGGTTCAAATATAAATATGTTAAGTACAAAGCTGACCACTGAACCAAAAATACAAACCTTCCTAAATATTAGAACTTACGTGAGCATTTTAGAAAAAAAAATATGAAGCCAGAGATTTAGCTCAGCAGCATAAGCACCTGCCTGGCAAGCGTGAGCTTGTGAGTTTGATCCCTGGTATCAAAAAAAAGAGAGAGAAAAACTGAAGTCCCTACATAGAGTCAAATACATAAATATATGTATGTGGGTTATCTCAGCTCTTATTCATTTTTAATTTTTTTTTGTTTGTTTTGTTTTTTTGTACCAGAAATCCAACTTGGGACCTTACACTTGTCAGGCAAGTGCTTGCACCACTGGGTTATATCCCCAGGCTTGTCTCATCTTTTAAAAAACTGACCTATATAAATCACAAACCAGATCCAGTGCTATACCATATTATGTTGTATAGATATGGAAAACATAGGTTAAAAGTTAAGAATTAAAAAGAATGGACAGAAATATACTAGACAATGTATATTTTGCAAAAGCAGAATTCAAGATTTTCATAGAATAAGGTTGAATCCAAGCCAGAATGCATAAGCAAGAAAAGACATACACTTTGTAATCCTACAGACTTTAATCCATAAAATAATGGTGCACTGAACAACAGTAACTTTCATAAGGTAGAAATTATGAAAGGAATATGTAGAAGTACCTTAAAACTAGGTGACTTCACTTCTCATTCTACGACAAATCAATTGAAAAATAAAAATAAAAATTATAATAGAGACCTATACTAAATAATCGGGAAGGGAGATGTGATGAATACATACTAATCTATGCATAACAAAACTGGAAGCGAGGTGTGATGTCACAGGCCTGTAACCCAGCACTCAGTCAGGCTAAGGCAGAAAATCACAATTTGCAGCCTAGACAATTCAGTGAGACCATTTCAAAATATAGGCTAAGGAACTAGGGCTGTAACTCAGTACAAAGCCCCAGTTCACTTCCTGGTATCAAAAAGAAAGAGGGCTAAACATAGAGATAGATGACAAGCTTGTTCGATTTAGGGAAAGTTAAGCTTATAATGAATGTAAATTGAACTTCAATACATTCCAAAAGTACAAATAATATAGATTCAATCTCAGAAAATAGCACAATAAGAATGGGTATGAATAACAAAACTAGAAAACAGAATTTCACTTTTACCTTGAATTTAAAAAAAAATATATAAAATAACCTTTGGCTGAAAGGCAAATTTAAATCAAAGTGGCAGGATTTCTAAAACAGTAACTGCCTATGAGATTTATGGACTGTAACTACAGTGATATTCTGAAAAAAGAGCTCATATCCCTACTTATTTCAATGAAAAAAAATATTGAGGATAAATTAAACATTCAATTTTTAAAAATTAGAAAATACCAAACCAGAGAAAATATGAAGAAAAAGAACTGTAAGTTTGTGATAAGCATTAATTTTAGGTAACAAAGAAATAAAGCTAATAAAGAAATTTTCTTAAGTAAATCAAGGGTCAGAGAATTATACCAAATGTGACTTCCATCTGCACTTGAAAATTTTTGCAAGTTTCAAATTTAGTATCTAAAAAGTTATATTGCAATACAGAAACATTCATTTTTAGATACATTGTTTACAGCTGCTGCTTGTGCTGTGATGGCCCAATTGTGAAAGAGATCATATGTGGCATACTCATGCTGTGTGTACTACAAATCTGTGACACAGTTCCGATTTAAGAGCATTTTGAGTGCTCTGTTTCTTTTCATATAGCAGCCTATTGTTGTATTTTATTTTTAAACTTAATTTGTATTACCAAACATACCCATCATGTCAAAATGAGAAATGTGAACTAAAAAAAAAAAAAACAAAAAAAACCTTATACTTTCAAGGCAGAATGGAGGGTGCATTATTAATCAAATTAGGTGGTTAAAGATCGTGTTTAATACATAATGACACTATAGCTCTGCTTAAAAAAAAAGTACAGTTTGGATTTGCCAGATCAAGAAATTTTCACAATATTCATAACACATGAGAGTAGCAATCAGAAAATATCTCTTGATACCAGAATTTCTTCATAAAATACGAAAATGAAGCTGCAATAAAAGTAATTTTCTGATTGCTTCATTTGCTAAGAAGGAAAATCTCCTGAGTTAGTTAATTAAATTGTGCTTGTCTCAAGCTTCATGCATTTTCCTACAAATGACTCAGATTTTATCCTTTATGCCAGAGTAGTATTCTATTGTGTGTAAATACATTTTCTTTATCCATTCATCTGTTGGTATCATACAGGCCACTTCTAAGATTTAGCTACTCTGAATTGTGCTTCTATATGCATGGGTAAGCATGTATCACTGCAACAAGATGTCTTTAACTTATAGGAAGACACCTACAAGGGGAATGTCTGGGTTGAATGGAATTTCTAGTTTCAGTTTGAGGAATCTCCATACTGATTTCCATAGTGGTTGTACCAATTTATGTTCCCACCAAAGATGCAGATAGGTTTCTGTCTTGGTTACTTTTCTCTGGTTGCTGGAACAAAACATCTGACAAAATGAAGAAAGGAAAGGTTTATTTAGCTCACTGTTTGTGGAGGTCTCAAAGTCTATGGGGCAACACTTCAAGGCAGCACAAAGAGCAAAAGGGGAATGGGAAACAATCCTCTTCTCCTCCCTTATTGTACACAGGCCACTCCCTACCCAGGGCAGGCTTAGCACTCACAAAATCTCTGTGCCCTCCTCTTGCACAGAATGAGGGTATTTGGTAGCCATTGTTAGTTCCCTTTTATCATGTTTTGAAGTCCTGTATCATTTTCATTGTTTTGTTTGTTGGGTTTTATTCTGTTTCATATTATTTGATTTTATTATATCTGATGGCATGGGTAGCTATTTCAAAGATAAGATATATCATGATAGCCATTTTGGTTTTACTATTATTTTGTTTTGAAGTCCTTTATTGTGTTGTTTTGTTTTTATTGGCTCTGTTCTGTTTTGATTTTTACTATGTCTGAAGGTATGGACAGCTATTTTGAAGACAACAAAAAGTATTATAGTAACCATTGTTGATTTCCTATTTTGTTTAGAATTCCTGTATATTGTCAAGCTTGTCATCTAAACACTTACACTGTTTTGTTTTGATTGGCTTTATTCTGTTTTATTTTGCTTGATTTTATTATCTTTAAAATAAAAATTACAAACAAAATAGGATTTCAGTGTTCAATTTGCATACCTAGAATGTCCAGAAATGTTGAACATTTTTTTCATGTATTGACCATTTGTATTTCTTGTGAGAAGTGTCTATTTCAGTTACTCATTTTTTATTGGGTCTTTTATTTTTCTAATTTTTTGTTCATTATACATTTTAGATATTAATCCTTGAGGAGTAGCTATCAAAAACTTTTCCACATTCTCTATGTTGTTGTCTCTTCACTGTTTCCTTTGCAATGCAGAAGCTTTTTGATATGATACCATTTGTTGATTCTTCATGTTGTTTCTTGTGCCATTAGGATTCTGTTCAGAAAGTTCTTCCCTATACTTACGTCTTCTAGAGTTTTACCGATTTTAATATCTAACAAAGTGTTTGTTTTAACATTTAGAACTCTGATCCATTTTGATATTAGTATGTAATGAGTCTAGACTCAATCTTCTGCATGTCCATCGCCAGTTTTCCCAATACCACCATCTCTTAAAGAGGCTGTCTCTTCTCCAGTGTAGTTTTGACCCCAAAGATCAAATAGCTGAATGGGCTGGGGATCCCTTTTGACTCTTATTATTTAGGAACAGTTTCTTAAATCTACCAAGCATACACATGTCAAAGGTATTATTTATTTCTAATTACCTTCATAGAAAACATTTTATATTGAGAATTATATTATAGACAACTTTGGTAAAGGTTCTTTGCATGTTTAAGAAAAAAATAGATTCTGCAGTTGCCAGGTTTGGGGTTCTACATGTGCCCAGAAAATCAGAACTTATATTTTTATGAACTTTCGGACTGTTAAACAGTGTTAAATTTCTCATTGTGGTGGATTTGCTCATTTATCTTTATAGGTCTACTAACTTTATACTCCTTTGGAACTGTTTTAGTAGATATTTAAATCTACTTTATGTTCCTTTAATATAGAACCATTAACATTGTGTAGTGACTGCCCCTCCATAATAATGCCTTTCATCTTAAAATGTCTGGTTTAGAAGTTTTATACTTTATACTTTTAATAGTTCTCCTTGAAATTTTAGTAACATGCATAATTTAACAAGTCTGAAGATTAGTATCTTAATCTCTTTTCTGAAGCATAGCAAGCTTTTAAAAGACCACTCTTTTGAATACTTGATCTTATTATCCAGGATATTTGTTTTTAGTAAAGCCCCACAAAATAAGTATTACCCTTCGTTCATATAGGTAATGATTTTTTCTTTACAAATTTCATCACTTTTTTCTTTTCAGACCTACGTTCTGTGATCATTTTTGTTCCTCCTGAAGAATGTGCCTTAGGTTGTTGGTACTCTAGTGCAGTCAGTGGACCAGCAGTTGGTTCAAGATTCTCCAGAAAAACAGAACCAACAGGAAGAATGTTTTGTGTGTGCATGTGCATGTGTGTGTGGAAGCTCTGGTTCATGAGATTGTGGGATTGAAATCTCAAGTGTGGTTCAGCAGGCTGAAAACTCATGCCAGGGGTGATATAACAGTATGGAGCCTGTGTAAACAGGGAAGGCTGGCAAGGAAGCAACTTGGTAGAGGATTTCTATGTGGTAGTCTTGAGTGGGAATTCCTTCTCTAGCAAACCTGTTTTTTTTTTAAAAGTCTCAACTCATTGATGGGGCCTACGCATGTTATCAGGGTAATTTTTTTGATATAAGGTAAGCTGACAGCTCTTAATCACACCTTCATAGCAATATAGACTGTTTGACCAAACACCTGGATACTTAGCCTAATGATACATTTAAAAAAATTTGTTTTTGTTATAGGGGATAGAACTCACGACCTTGGGCTTGCCAAGTGGGCACTTGTGGTGCTGAGCTAAACCCATGGCATGACAAAATTTAACCATCCCAGTGATCTTTGCTTGTGAGCTGGCATTTAATTGATGTCAACATGAACATATCCAAAATGCCTAAAGTGCAAGTATTCTCCTTAGGTTTGCATTTCCTTTTGTTGGGAGACAGGAGAGACTACTATAATTTAAGGTCACTGTGGTCACCTCAAAAAAAGCCTGTCTCTTAAATTAAGAATTTTCAGATTATTTTTTGATAGGTCCAGGCTTTAAACTGAGATTTCAGTATAGGTATTTAATAGTCTTGAGTTTAGATGACATACTTTTTATCATTTAAAGCTTCTGTGCTTTCTAAACAATAGTCTCTCAATCTTTTCTTAGCAATTTAAAGTAATATGCTATTTAGGTGATCCTCATAAAATACTGTTATTCTTCCAATTAAAACTGTTTCCCATTTCCTTAGAAAATTAAATGGCATGTCATACTTTACAAGGGCCTTCAGTGAACCATCATCTGCCTTCATTAAGCACTCCTTCTTTCACTGTTTCATTCATCCCAAATCTTGGTTGGCGTCTCCAAAATGGGGGTGGCTTCTCTTCTCCTGGCCTTAACATGTGTAGGTTTTCTTTCCAGACAGTCATATTCAAGGTAACACTTAATTTTAAAGTTCTCAGCTTAGAAGTCACTTTTCTCTGAAAAGTTGTTCGTCCCTGTTCCATTTGCTTGATATCCTCCTACACGTCCTCTAGAGCTGCTCATAGTATGCTGGCAGTCACAATAAAGGGAAAATCATTGGCTATATTCATTTCTTTTTTAAGGTACATTTTTATCAGATAATACAATCTAGAGTATAAATTTCTGACTACCTAGCAATGTCTGAATCTCCAGGTTTCTGTAAAAATAAGCAGAAAAGACCAAGAACACTAGCTAAGAAAATGGGGAGACTAGTAACAGTTTCCAAGTAACTTAAAAAAGATTTTCATAGAGAAAAATGTGTCAGTAAATAGATATATTACATGGATAAATGGGTTTCTCAAACCAGTGACAGGTCAATAGCAAATTCATGTTGAAAATTACTATAATGAAGTTAATCTGATTCAATAGCAGTCAAATAAGACCTATAATATGGGCTGAGGATGTAGCTTGCTCACCATACATAAGGCCCTGGATTTTATCCTCAGCGCCAAATGGAGTAGGGTTGGGAGAGTGTAGGGATCAATAAGAAGTGAAGATGAAGGGGAAGAAGAAAGGAAGTAGAAGGAAGAGGAGAAGAAAAACTATTACATGGCTTATGGTAATTTCTTAATATTCTACATAATAATAGTACTATATATATTTAATGTACTCATTCTTTTTCTTTTTTGTTGCTGAAACAAAATGCTCAACACCCACAATTAAAGGAGAAAAGGTTTATTTTGGGTCAAAGTTTGTAGAGGTTTCAGTCAGTAGGTGGGGCTAGCTCAAAGGCAGGTGGCATGGCAGAGGGGCATGGTCAAAGAGAAAGTCATTGGCAAGGCAGGCAGAAGCTACAAGACTTTTGGGCAGCGCTACCCAGTCTCAGGGTTGGGCTTCTATTACTCACATCCTTAATCGCAGTATAATTCCCATTCCAACCACCCAACCCTAATCCAGCCATCTTTGAAACTCACTTATGACCATCTGAGGTTTTGAGGGACATCTAGATACAAGCAGTAACACTCCCAATTATAAATTTTAAAATTTTAGTAGAAATGATTTTTTTTAGTTTTTTTGGGTTAGTTATCTCAATATGTATCAATTTGCAAAAATTAGGAAATTTGAGGACTATTTTAAAATGATTTATAAGTGAGCATATTTTTAATAAAATAAAGACGTGCTTCTTTCAAGAAAATAAAAACTAAGCAAGTACCATACAAAATTTCAGTAATTATAATAGAAATGTGACCTGATTATACGCACATGCACAAGTATGAATTTATATAGATACATGGGTATATTGTATTCTGTCAGAAAAAAAGCAATAGCAAAAATATATGTAGTATGCAAAACATAAGCTAGAGAAGTATAAGCACAGGATATATATGTCTATATATATGCATGTATGCATATATAGATATATATATATATACACATGTGCAAACTCAAATCTTTAAATTTTTATTATTTAGTAATGTGACATTAGTTTGCAAATGGTATGGTAACAATAAAATAGGAAGGAATTCAGAATGCAACATGTTTAATAAATAAAGTTTAGTAATTTATTAAATATTATGATACAGTGCAGGATCAAAGATCACAACACTCTTTTTTTTTCCTTTTTGGTTCCAAGGATCAAACTCATGACCTCACACTTGCCAGACAAGCGCTTGTGCCACTGAGCTAAATCCCTAGCCCAAAATTGTAACACTTAATAGTATTATCTTTAATTAATCTTTCAGGTAACCTAAATATTCTAGGTAGATTAAAAACTACTAATATCAGACTTTAAAGGAATGACCTTAGAAATTAATGGTTTATTATCTACAAAGTTGCATGGCTCCAACATATGACATAGTCTTGAAAAATAATGAAAAATATTAGTTTACCCTCTATCATTTTGGCTGCATTTTACAACCTCAGATATTTTTCACAGCAAGGATATATATCTGCACCATACAGTTTAAAAACACTGTAAAAATGGTTTGTTTTCTTTATTCTCTTTTTAATGTGGTTATTTATCTATATGCTTTTGTGAAATTATTTGTTACACTAGATTTTTTTAGATAAGCTGAAGTATTGCCATCATTTACTTTATCTCAGAAATCAATCTTGCAATTGGACTCTAGAATTATTGAGTAATGACAAGTCATTTTTGTCATGTCTTCAGGCAGAAAATAATTACAAAAATGTATGTTGGTTTTATAGTAACTTCACATAAGATACAGATCTAAAGATAACCACATATTTCGATTACTTATTCAGTGTATGTGTCTTTTAGAGCCCACCATGTTTCTTTTGTTCTTTATCTCTGAAGGGATTAGTTTCATTTGATTTTCCATTAAGGCAAAAGACAGATTAACTCCTTTTCCTTAGATTTAATTAGTCTTGAATTCATCTAAGAACAGAAAACGATGTTCATTTCATAAAAGGTTAGCATCAATATTAAGACAACTTTTTTTCTTCTGACAAATCTGTTTATATTAAGTAAATGTTTAAAAATACAAATCCTGAGAAAGAAAAGAACAATTTTGACTAAAGAATAAAATTCCTTCAAACAGCTTTAAAATCCAGCCATGGAACTTAAGTCCATAAGGCTAGAATTCAGATGTCTGATGTCCATGGCAACCTGAATACTCTGAGCAGAAATAAAACACACATCGTAAATAATACATAACAGTAAAAAAGCATCAGAAATTGATGCACCTGGATTTTGTTAAATATAACAAAGGTCCATCAGTCCTTCATGAATAAACCTAGCTGGGAACAGCACTGAACAGTGTATTGCATTGAGCAGAAATTTCTCAGAAAGGCCACAATGGATTCCTTTTTATATAGGCATAGACTTTTTTTTCCCAAAACATTGAAAAACATAAAAGATACATTTGGAAATACAATATAAATCCTTTTTCAATAAAAGCAGAAAGTTCTGGCCACTTTGGAAACTGAAGTCAAGTCACTTGATTTTTTTTAGTTACAGCCCCCTCCCCATGAAAAATAAGAGCCCATTGCCCAGCAAAGCAGCATTATGACAAAGTATTTACACAGCAGTGAAGGTTTTGAGTATATGGCTTTGCAAAACAAGTCAAGTGAAGCCCAGCTCTAAGTACAGTTTTTTAGTCCATGTGGTGAAAGTGCTTAGGAGTGGGAAACTGCCAGCATAGCAAGGATCCTCTCACAGTATTAAGGCTTGTCTATGTGGGAAAGTTCAGTTTAAAGTCAGCACAATGAACATCAGACAATGATCGCTTGATCCTGGGCACTGCCCTCCAATTTTCTTCAGTATGACTTTTATTCCAACTGTCGCTCTTCCTCTTCATCTGCTTCTTCAATGACCTGAATCTCATCTGCTTGAGGTAAGGAGTTATTCTCTACCTGTAGTTTATTCTCCTCAGCTTTACATTTTTCTTCTTCCTCTATAATTTCCTTCCATATCTTGTGGTTTTCAGTGAGGTGGTGCATTAGCTGACAAAATATTCGCCGTCTGCCTTTTCTTCTTTGTGGTTCTGTGAAATTTAAAAGAATCATATTCTAATCATAGCAATATCATCCATCCATTCATTCATACAAATGTCTCATGCCTAATATATCCTAAGTAGTTATGTAAGCACTGAGGTTATAATAGTGAATAATCCCTGCATTAAGGACCTCACATTCTAGCGAAACCAACTAGACAAAAATGAAGCAAAATATGAATATGTGAGATATTAGTGTTAAATGGCAGGAGTAAAAATAAAACAGAGGACTAGATAAGACTGGGTTGGGAGGAGAAAGTATTATAGCACTAAAATTTCAAATGAAAGACTTAACAATCAAAATTTAAAATCAGCCTCTTGAAGGTTTTTATGTAGTGAGTTAAACACAATTATCAACATTCTGGTGAATATTATTTTTAAAAGTCAGCCAGTCTTCCCAAAGTGACACTCATGGTAATGACACAAGATTTTTCTTTGTTATGCTAATCCTAATGACAAAATATATGTTGGAAAGGGTTTGTAGTCATTCTATCTGTTCTGATTGATAGTATGCTTGGGAAAAAATACCTAGGTAATTGTATTTTTAAATACTACTTTCAAGTGCAAATAATTGATTTCACTCACAATTACACAGGAGATGAATGGGTTTTTTAAATTTTCCATTTATATTAATTGCCTTATAAAGAAAAAATAACACTTAAATGATGACTTAAATTGTTGTTTTGTTTTGTTTTGTTTTTGGTACCAGGGATCAAACCCATCACTTTACACTTGCCAGGAAGGCACTCACTCTGCTGAGCTAAATCCCTGGCCCTATAACTAAATTCTTAAACATTACAACACTTGGTTCTCCCCTTAGAGCTCAGGAATGTGTATTTTCCTTTTATCCGTACTGTTTTGATCCATTTCCCAAGACTCTGGAAGACAGATCAGCAGGCTGCTTTTGAAGCTGTGCTCCCACCTGCCTCGTGGTGTACACGGTAGTGTACTTAGACAAAGGGCAGATGAGGGAAGACTAGCTGGAAGGCACCTACTTCACAGATGCAGAGGGAGTGATAGCCCTTCCATGCATACACCGTGGAGCTTGCTGAAGAGCACTGGCTACAGGACAGCATTTAAGAAATGGTGTTGCCATTGAATAAGAAGAATTTTTGCATTTGATGTAATTAGTACAGTAACCACACATAACAGGTACTCAAGAGCTTGACTACTGAATCCAAACATTGAGGTAGTAGTTAGCAAAGGTATGACTGCTGAAAATTTCTATCTAAAAAAATTTCTAAATCCAAAATAAATGGACATTTGCAGCTAGTAATATTAGAGTCTCCCTATATTCTTACTAGAATTTAGATTGCCTTCCATTTCTTCATCTGTATCTAATTCTTCACCATCCTCATCATCTCCACTTTCGCTGTCATCATCCTCTTCTGCTTCCACCCATTGGCCCGGCAGCAAACCAGCAGCATCATAGGAGTTACACAGGGGACCCACTATGTGAGTGATGAAAGATTCCTGGAGCTTTGCTAGTTGAGGAGATGAACGATCCATGAAGGGACTGATAGGCAGGCCAAGATTTGCTTCTTCGTCTCCCTGAGCATTTTAAAAAGAAAATTCATTTTTAACTATTTGAAGACCAACTGCTGATTTTTTATTATTTATTTTTGTGCCAGAAATCAAACACAGGACCTTACGCTTTGCCAGGCCAACTGTTAATGCTTATTAAAATTATCTTAGGGTTCTTAAAATGTATTCTACATTGGGCAGGGGATTTAGCTCAGCAGCATTAGCACCTGCCTGGCAAACACGTGGTCATGGGTTAGACAAAAAAGAGAAAAAAAATATTACACAGCAAAGTAATGTTTGCAAAGAAGTATCAACGAATCTATTCTATCATTTCAACTGTAAGAATAGCTCCAATAAATGGGAAATCTTAAAACTTTAATCTTATATTCTGTCCACATCAACCAATATGGATGATATTCAGTTAACAAAACATATTTATTTATTAAAGTAAATATCAGCAGTTTTACTAATCTGCAAATTCTGTAATGTCAAATATAGATTCTCTTTCTCCTTAAAAGATGGACATAGTGGACACATTTTTGTTGTGTAGTTTTACCTCAAATGTAGGCAGCTGAATTTTCCAAGGGTTTCTCAGTCTTCCCACCCTTAACAGCAGAGCCCTCTAATGAATCTAAACCAGAAAACCCAATATATAGAATAGAAGTACAGCTACTGTTGTTGAGGTGAGGATTGTGACCAGAGCCCCAACTTCCTGCTTCTAATACACTCTTCTCATTATGGCTCTAGGGTTCTAGCAAGCACAATTTGAAATGAGACAAAAATAGCTTCAAAAACCACTTTTATCACTTAAAATCTGTGTAGTGCTGGGCAAGCTCTCCACCTATTATTATCATGTGTAACTTTGGAATAATAATTACCATATAAGGTTATAAATATGAAAGATAATATTGTGCAAAAGGAAGGATTCCCCAAATCGTACTTATTCACATTTTGATCCTAGTGTCTGAACTGTTTGGAAATGCATAAATGTAAACCTCCCACAATACACAAATTCTTCATGCAAGTAATGTTTATCTGTAATCAGCCAATATTACCCTGAATAAATACCCAGAAACTATCCCAGTGATCAACTCTCCCACAATTTAAAGTCTTCTACAATTTGCTATCTGTGAAGCTGGGCTGCGAACTCAGTGGCAAAGCACTTGTCTAGTGTGTGGAGGCTTTAGATTCAGTCCCCAGCACCACAGAAACAATTAAAGAATAGTTGGGCTTATCCACAGATTCCTGCAGTACCCCAGGAGTTTGGCTACTCTAAGTCATGGCACTGAAATGGCTAATAAAGACAGTATAATTAGGATAACAAACAATAGAAGTTGGGAAATTCTGAATTGTGTAGCCATGTATGAAGTTTAAAAGCTTAAACAAAATAAGGAAGTTTAACATTTTGATAATAGATGGCTATGACTTCCATATCCATTAGGTTATCAGATGACATTTGTATCCTTTAACATGAATAATGACATCTAGGAAGATTAAATGAAACTGTCTGACATAATATATTGCTTTATGCGATAAATCTGGACTTATAATGGCTAACATTAGTGAGTATGTGTCAGGGACTAGTCTAAGAACTTCTTATATATTTATATTTATTTAATCCTCACAGCAGCTATATGAAGTAGGTGTCATTATTATGCATATTTTATCAAATGAGAATACTGAAGCACAAAGTTAAATTCCTAAGCCAAGGTCACAATGTCAATGAGGAACAGAAACCAGGATTAACCTTCAAGTATAGCTTCTAAGTTTATTTAATAGGTATTAATTTTTAATCTGCCTTTAATATATGACTTGGGTCTAAAGAAACATTTCTAATGCTATTTTCCTGAATTAGTAGGTTTTCTATAATGAACATATGCTACTAAGGTTTTGTGACCTGTTTGTACAAATAATGTAGAAATAGCATTTTCTTTGGCATAAAATCCTTCTTTTGTGAACACGAGCTCTACTGGAAAACTGCTTAATTATCACTGAGAATAAAGGGAGGAATATAAAATACTTTAAATATTTAAAAATAGGTAAATATTACCATTTTTGAAAAAATACTATAATTTAGTGTAAATGTGTCATAAAACAGAAAGTTATTAATAACCTTAGAATATTTCTTTACTGCCATGAATATATAGTGTAGAAGAGGGGTACCTTGATTCATGAACTTATTTTGTTCTACAGTTTTGGAAAAGATGGCCACATTTGTGTTTTTGCGGGAAAGATGGCTGTGGTTGTGTCTGTACCCAATGCAGAGTTTGCAAACAAAATCATTCATGAACCAAAGGAGCACTGTATTCTGTAACTTGCAAAGGTGGGGGAAAGACTGCACACTGACAGTACAACCTGGGCCAACATGGCACACCAGGTAACTGCATGGCTGTATGGTATCAAATTCATTACACCTATTTTCTGCATATGGTAGGAAAACCCTGACAAAAAGGAGTCCTCACTTATTAGATACCATGATCTTTCCTGGTTAGGGAAAACAAAGGTTCCTAAAAAAAACCCTGATGTCCAAGTTCATATGGTGTATTTTATATTTTGTAAAAAATGAAATGGGAAGCTTATGACAGACGTCAGTTCACTTTTACATTATGGGTAGCCTTAAGACCGCACACATCCTGTAGCTACCATGCTGCCTCCCAGATAATTTTTAAGATAAGGCTTTAGAAGATATGAAATAAGAGCATGTTTGTATCTTTGAGTCCTTGGAAAATTACTGTATCTATTCTGTACCCACATCTAGCCCTCTTAAATTTTTTCTAGCATTCTGCCAGGTCTTTTGTCCATGTTTCTATGGGAAAACAGTTGTTAATTTTTCTATAGCAGAATTCAAAATTCTTCTGTAGCATTACTGATATTCTTTAAACATATTCTGAGTAAACCCTAAACTCACTTATAAAGTACTTCATTCAGAAATCGGTTATTCCAGATTTTAATTCTTAGGGTTGAAAGGAGCCTTGGAATCATATTCTGACCTTTGCTGTAGACTTGACTCACTCCAGAAAGGCATTAAGATATTCTTGTTTGTTTTAAAACAAACAAAACAAAGGCAAAGGAAAACAGCTGAGAAAACACTAAGAAGCACAGCAAATGCAACATTTTATAATCCTTTCAGTCAAAGTAACTCAGATTTCACTTAATGTAGCTAACCAAATCCTTGTGAGTTCTTTATTCACATGACAGCTCTCAAAAATCCCATCAATCTCATTATGCAACTTACCTGCTCATAGAATTCATTGACAATTCCTTCTGTCCATTTCAAATGCAAGTCTCGAACTTTTGCTGGGCCATTTATATCTGCTAGTTTGATGCACACCTGGCAGACTAAGAGGCGATCGTTTTCACTACTCCATTCTATTCCATTACTATTTACATCATTGGCCTATTTTGAAAAAACAAAATTGTTTTAGATTCTAATGGAACAAGAATTTTCTACTGCTTGTTTGTTTTTATGAAGTCACCTTAAACTGTTTCCTGTCTAAATGAAAGAGAGAAATTCCAGGAAATGATTCTTTTAATAAGTGTATGACATAACATGAATCTACATGGGTTAAGTTTCCTATTGAAATGTTATTAGAATTTTGCTTCACTAGAAATCACAGCTTTCTAAAAATGTAACTGCCATCAGTGATACCACAGAAAATGATTTATGTATATGTATATATACACGTATTATGTTATGTACAGTAAATATATGTACATATATCAATAAGACATAAGAATTGTGTTTCTACCTCAATAATGTATGCTTAAGGAGCTAAAGAAAAGTTGACTCTAGAGGTAAAAGGCAAAGCGATACAGTTAAAAGAATCTAAGTATTAGGACTTGGTCCTATGATTTTAAATCAGGATTCAGAATGACTAATTCAGTGTGTAACTGAAACAATTACTTAACCTATTTGAATCTAACTTTCTTTATCTATAAAGTAATTTAGCCATACTACCATGAATGTTACTATATGAAAATACATGCCTCATTCATTATATGCTAAATACTATCATTTAAACAGATGGAATTATCATTAGTCAAAATTATCATGCCTTTCAGTTAACTCAAATTTCTTTTTGTGAAAAATGAAAATAGGTCAGATTATAATGGCTTCTGATCTTTAATGTGAATAGTAGGTGTTTGGGGCATAAACCTTTCTATAAAGGGAAAATTTATTTATATAGTCCATCAACATACAAAATATCTAAAAGAAGAGCCTTTTAAATTGACATAGAGTGGGAATTCTAGAACCTCACCTATATGATGCTTTCCCAAGAAACTTCAGAACAGAACTCTGAGAAATACAGATTCAAAGGTATACACATAAAGCAAGCATGGTAGTATACATTCTGGGAAGCTGAGGCAAGAGGCAAGAGGATCACTAGTTCAAACCCAGCCTAAGCAACTTGGAAGGATCCTGCCTTAAAAAAAAAAAAAAAAAAAAAAAAAAAGAGGAGGAGGAGGAGAAAGAGATAGGATGAGGAGAAAAAGGGCTGCAGATGTATCAGTGTAAAAACCTGGGTTTAATCTCCAGTCCACAAAAAAAGTACACACATAAAAGTGAATACAGCTATGCAATTCTGAAATAATTTTATAGGCATCTTCTCTGGTTTTATGAACATTTTATTATTATTATGATAGCAACATGTGTAGGTGTATCCTAGGCAGTCAGTATGCCTTTGTTACCTGTTTCTTTACTTTGAAGGTACAGCTTCCTTTTTTTTAAAGAGAAAAAAAACCACATAAAAATAACAATGAAACAGAGTTACAGCTTCCTTTAAGTCATAAAAATCAAGGCAACAGCAATTTCCTGTCAGTGAAAGAGAGGCCATTTTTCTTCTTCAGCACAGGAATCTAAAGTAGTGGTTTTTAAATTTTTACCCCAAATTTCTTGAGAGAGAAAATACGCTCTCATTTGTACTATAATCTTAATGGGCAGTACTTCTTGATCCCCTTGAATTCTCTGAGGGCAAGGGCTCTGACCCATTCTCTCCCCATTTTTCCCTATCACAATTACTCCACATCGTGGGCAGTTCCAGGAAGCTGCTGAATGAGTGAATCACTCACTGTAAAGTGGAAGAGGGGACATATTTTTCCCATGTTAGCCAGCTAAGGAATCACTAGTATTGAAAGTGTAATAGGCAAGGTAGGCTTAACTGGCTTCTCAGAAACAACTCTGACTTCATGGAAGGTCTTACTTGGCACTGTTAATTTCTCAAATCATTAATAGGTTTGAAATGATATCAAATAACATCACGATAAAAGAAGACAAAGAGTCAAAAAGAAAATACAGCAAGTAACAATATTTTAGGACATGTTACCGTAATAATTTTTTAGGTATGTATGTGTCTGTGTGTGTGTGTGTGTTTGTATAATAATATCAATTATTGTTACTACATGAGTAATATTGAAACAACATTAAAAACACTGTTATCAACAACTCTATCACAGCGATTTCCCTATCTGAAATCAGGCACTAGTATGTGTAACAAACCTTGGCATTGAATTCAGCAAGGAAATCAAAGTGCTTTTTAAGATCTGTGGCAAGGATTGCTTCAATGACTAAAAAACGAAAGCGCTTGAACTCCACATGGTCAAGGTTAAGAAGGAAGTTGAATTCTGGGCGAGAAAGGTACAGATTCCAAGCTGATGCAGCATGATGATTTTCTAGAACAGATCTGTCGTTGTATAACACTGCCTAAAAAGAAATTTTAAAAAGTGAAGCAGGATCTCAAAGACATAAAACTTTAATAATTAAAAAAAATTACCACCAGAAAAGAAACCTGTTATGTTATGTAGATCCTCAAAGGTTTCTGATGAGCTTTACTGAAGTAGACCTCAAAATACCACCCTCCTGTCTCTTGGGAGGCAGTGCGGTAGCTGCAAGAAGATGAAATTTGGAAATGGCCAACCCTTTCACTTACTACTAACTACATGTACTGGAAGGAAAGATGTACTTTCAAAGATACACTCTTTGAATGTGAGCCTACTTAAGTATAAAATTGTTATATTTCTTCAGATATTAAATATATAGTAAAATGCCTTTACAGAGTAGATTATTTTATACTACCTTTTTAAAGCCCAAAGAGAAACACTAAGCTTTATAGGGTCCCTAACAGGTCAGTTTATATTTAATAGATTTAACTGATTTGTCTTCAAATCTGATAAACATTGATAAATACCAAAATAGCTTTGTTTGGTCCGGAGGTAGTAATAAAACTCCTAGCTCAATAAAATACAATGACAATGTGTTCTCTGTAAAGCTGTCTGGTTTAATATGCTCTCAGCTGGCCAGTTTAGGAAAAGAAATGAGAAAGGGTTCCTTCACTGTTGCAATTGCCTGTGATCAACCAAATGACTAGGATTTTTGAAGATTATATGTGTTAGGTCAGAGAGAGAATGGACATTTGAATTTTGCAGAATGGTACTGCAAATGGGGAAATATGTCCTTCAGAATGGTAGTTTCTCTCCCCAAAACTGTTATAAACTGGGAAAATAATATTAACTAGATTTAAATTTACCGGAAAGTTACCTTGGAAATCATGAGCTATTAATACAGCCTCACTGGAGAAATGAATTACACTGCCATTCTAACCCATTTATATGCACACATACCATTACACTCACACTTACACATCTATACTTATATATTGCCTCCCCTACATTCATTCCCACCACATTTGAGATTCAAAAGAATTTATCTTAACGTATACAAAAGAGACAGATGTAAAAAAAGAAAGCAGAAAATAGTTACAGATGATGAAAAGATCAGAACTAAAGTTTCAACACAGTGAGGTACAGTTCTTTACAGTAAAATGAAAACATCAGATGATGTATACACTGTCCATTAGGCATGTGGTTAGAAACATACAAATGACGTTTTAGAAATCAGCATAAACTAACACTCATAACCATATTAAATTCTACTTAAAGCCATGTATGTAGATCGAAGTTTTCATGTTTAAAATAAAGGTAATTAGTTATACATTTTCGGGGACCACTTTATTTAAATTATGACAATACCTCAACAGCAATACTTAATACAAAAATAATATACTAGATCAATTTTTATATTCACACAGCAGTATATTCACAACAAAACAATTTGAGCTCTGGATATTAAAGCACGCCTTTGGAGAAAAAAAGGAGTCACAAAATGATTAATAATTATTCTCAACCATTATAGCCTTTAGCATATGACTGACTTAGAAGAAATATAAATCTTGGAGCTAGTCAGTGTTTTGTCAGTTTGATCAAAAACAAAATATTTTTGGCAAGGTCTCCAGAATTTCAAAAAACAAAGACTTATTATTTCATAAGCTATTCTTTTCTAACTGATAAATGTGATTTTTTTCCTAATTCTTTAATACAAAGCATGTAAAGGTCATGTGTTTTTTATCTAATTAATTATAATGTATGGTATTATAAGTCAAATGAAATGGCCATGTGACTCAAATGAAGAATGACTAATAAGAGGATATGCAGCATGATTATAAAATTTCAGAACTACTCTGAACGTTCTGAAAAAGTATTACTTACCTGAGGTGCATTTGTGGCCACTAGAAATGCATTTGTCCTTCCTGGGTGATCGTAATCATGCATGGCAGCTGCCACATACAAAGCCATCAATTCTAATGCAGGAATGTTTGAAGACAGGCAGCCATAGGTCTCATCTGGAATACAGCAGCTCTTTGAGGAAATATAAGCAATTCGTCCAGGATTAATTCTACCATCGGATTCTGAAGAACAACAAATAGCAAAATAAATCAAGATTAGTACAAACTTCTTCACAGTTACCCTGAAGAGCGGATTACCCAGAAGGTATGATCACTTATTTATTGACAAAAAAAAAAAAAAACAGATTCCATGGAATTAGAAGAGTACACCCTTTCCAATATACACATAGTGATCTTAAAGTACTTCACAAACAATGATAGTATGTTCATGCCAGCTTGATGCTTTCTTACCCAAGCTAAAAATTTTTTGAACCTCTGATTTGCTACATGTTTATTACTTAAGGGCTAGATAAAATGGTCAGGGTATAGGCTATATGAGAAAAAATAATTGATAATAAAATTTGATGAAAACTATATAAAAATTTAGGAATTTAGTATATTACCAAGCTAAACTTCTTAATTTAAATGCTTTTTAGTTTTCATCCAGAAAGCTTCAATTTCATTTCTGAAACTAAAACTCTTTTTTCTTTACTTTTTCCTTCCATATAATATAATTTAAAATTACAGAAAGTTAAAAGGTGTGAAAAACTGGGGAATTTCTCAGTCAACATAGCTATTTTACCCTCCTATTGGAAACAGTATGTATCTATCTTGTGATATTTGTTCTTAATACCTTACCATCTGTTCTCCTTTCTGGTTTTGGTGGCTTTATCTAGATAGTGATATTATTTTTGCTAAAGGAATCTTAAACTACGAAGAAAAAACCCTAACACTATGTTTATGATAGATGGTACCTAAAAGCAAATATACAAGAAATATGAAAATTCCTTTAATTGTGTTCATCAATGAAATCTAGAAGTAAAGCCCTGGCTTGTCAAAGTTCAAAATGATTTTGAAATTATTTTAATTGAATTGATATTTGTCATCACAAGGACTTTTTAATGTAGTGATTTTAGTACACTAATAATCATAAATGATAGCTCCCTCTTTAATTTCATACTGTTTAATTTTATATTTAAATTGAGCTTTTGAATAACTACAGCTACTTTACAATACCTATAAAAATAAAAAAGAATGAAATGTACAAATCAGGATATATATACATATATATGCAAACTTCTAGTAGGACACTGATTATCAATATCAGAGTAAATCATCTGAAGTTTTTCCTGTGTTATACACATTCTGAATTTCCCCTACAATTATAAAATTATATTAAAAAATTAAAGTGGCAAAATACCCTTTGAAATAAATATGTATGGACCCAAACGTTAAGCATATAAATACAATAATAAAGTAAATATTAATGAGCTTGCATGGAAAAATTAGTAACTGCAGTAAAAATAGTGGACTTCAATATTACACAGACAGATCATTCAAATAGAATGTTAGAAAGGAAATTTTAAGACTTCAAATATACCTAATGGGCCTAACAGACATGTAATCAACATTTTATCCAACAGTAGCAAAATACATTTCTCAAGTGTGCATGGAACATTTTCTAGGATAAATCATATACTGAGCCACAAAATAACTCTTGTCAAATTTAAAACAGAAATTAAGTATTTTTTAACTACAATACAATACTACACATCAAAAACCAGAGAAGATTGGAAAGTTAACAAATATGTGGAAATTAAAACAAATGCTTTGAACAACCAGTGGATCAGATACTAATTCAAAAGACAAATAAAAAGATATTTTGAGACAAACAAAAATGAAAATATACCAATACAATACAATAAACACAATTCTAGAAGGGAAGTTTACAATAAAAGACTATCTCAAATTAACACCTAATGTTAACCTAAAAACCTAGGAAAAGAACACAATAAGCCCAAATTTACTAGAAGAAATAACAAAGGTCAGAGCAGAAATAAAATATATATATATAAGAGATAAAAGTAACAGTTGGTTTTTTAATGAACATTTAGCTGGGCTAAGAATACAAAATATAGAACATAACAAACACAAAGGATCATAAAAGAATTGATATCACAAAAGAATTTTTCCTAGATAATTTAGAAGGACAAGTAGGTAAGCTACTAATAATATAAAACTTACCATGACTAAATTAAGAATAGAAAATATTAACAGATCAATAATGAATCAAAACTCTATCAAACAAAAGCTCAGGACTTGATGACTTAATACCTAATTCTACCACACATTATATGATGAAAACATATGCCAATATAAAGTATAGTATCAAACTGTAGTTTTCCCAACTCTTCCAAAAAAATTGAACAGAGTAAAATACTTCCAAACTCACTTAACATGGGCATTTCCCTGATACTAAAGCCAGATAAGCATATGACAAGAAAAGAATATGATAATCTTAAAGACTTGATAAACATAGATTCAGAAACTCTCGAAAATATACTACTAAAGTAAATTTAACAGCAAATTTTTAAAAGAGTTATTCACTATGATCAAGCGGGATTTATCTCCAAGATGCAAGGATGGTTCAATATATCCAAATAAATAAATGTGATACACTGTATTATAAAAAACAAAAACTATATGATAGTGTCTGAAAAAGCATTTAACAAATTCAGTACCTTTTCAACAAATTAGATATAGTAGGAGTCTTTCTCAACACAATAAAGGTATGTAACATGCCCATACCTTATATTGTACTTAGTAGTAAAATGTTGAATTCTTTTCCTCTAAGATCAGAAATAAAGTGTCTAGTCTTATACCACTTCCATTTAAAACAGTACTAGAAGTGTTAGCCAGAGAAATTAGGCAAGACATGAATAAATAGAAAACTATCCAGTGTTCATGGATTAAGTGAATTAATGTGATTAAAAATATCTGTATCACACCAAAGAAATCTACATACTCACTTTCTGCAATGCTTACCTAAAATTCAATGATGTTCCCCCAAAGACTCATGTGTGTACAGGTGGGGCTTTGGGGAAGTGAGTGGATAATGTGGGTGTGATATGCACAGTCATGAGTTCACAGCTAACTGTGACACTGGCAGAGTAAAGTCTGGTTGGAGGAGGTGATTCACTGGGGATGTGGCCTGGAAGGGCCTGTCTCCCTCTTTTAAATTCCCTCACTGACGTACCATGAGCTGTTTCTTCTCTACCGTACACTTCTGCCATTCCATCCTGCCTTGGAGGAAGCTGAAAATATGCTGAAACCTCTACAAACTGTGAGCCAAAATAAACCTTTTCCTCTTTTAAGTTATGGGTGTCAGACATTGCGTTCCAGTTACAAGAAAGTAAATAAGACAGATATTTTTCTGAGAAATATGAGAAACAATCCTAAAAGCTATAAGGCACCACAAAAGGCCCTGAGTAGTCAAAGCAATCTTAAACTAAAAGAGCAACGCCGGTGGCACAGGACTACCAGACGCTTTGTTTACTAAAACCATAGTAATCAAGCCAGTGTGATATAGGTGCAACGAGACACATGGATCAGTGGAACACAACAGAAAGTCAAGAAACAAATCCATGCATTTTAACAAAGGTGCCAGAAACACTCGATGGGAAAAGGGGAATCCTTTCAATAAATGTTGTTGGAAAATTAGCCATATCAGAAGATAAATTATCATCCCTTATAAAAAAAAACTCAAGTTCTATTAAAGACTTAAACAAAATACATACAACCTCACACCTGTGGCTGCTAAAAAAAAAACAACAAAAAAGATGGTGAGATCTAGAGAAAACTCTATACATGCTTGTTGGGAAAATAAATTAGTACAGTCATAGAAAATAATATGGATACTCCTAAAAAATTAAAAATAAGTCTGAAGTATGCTTCTTTCTTTATGTACTTTTGTCAGGGATTTTATCATTAAGGGATTTTTACATGTCTTGAGACAATCATACAATTCATATCCTTGATTCTATGTGGTATATTTATCAATATACATATATTGAACTATTTATTTTTGCTTCCATAAGAAAGTAACTTAGTCATGGCAAATGGTCTTTTTAATGTTGAATTCTATGTGCAAGGATTTTATTGAGGATTTCTGCATCTATGTACATCGAGGATACTGATCTGTATCTTTTTGGTGTGTATGTGGGATCCTTATCTGGCTTTGGTATAAGGGTAATGCTGGCTTCATAGAATAAATTTGGAAGCGTTCCTTCTCTATTACATAGAAAAGTTTCAGAAGCACTGTGGGCAGGTTTATACAGAATCTCCTTCTCTATTAGTTTAAAAGCATGGTGAACACAAAGTGGTCAGATACCTATCTCAGTTTCCTGTTCAATGTTACCCTTTTCTAGGTCCCTTGTGGGAAGCATTTCTCCACTGAGAATGAAGGTTCTCCATGTCAGTTTGGGGCAGAGGGCAAGTAAAAAATTTACAAATGAATTATATGAGAAACAGTAAGAAAAATTACCTTTTTTGGTACCAGGAATTGAACTCAGGCAGGTGCTTGTGCTACTAAGCTATATCCCTGGAAAACGTTACTATTTCCACTCTCGAGTTCACAATTTTATTTTGGGCATAGTAGAAATGGTGTCATATATTGGACACTGGTTTAGACAACAAACTCTCAACAAATTAGGTATAGCAGGAGTCTTTCTCAACACAATAAAGGTCATATGCACCAGCTTATATTATACTTAGTAGTAAAATATTGAATTCTTTTCCTCTAAGATAAGAAAAAAGAGATCCAATGTGATGAACCTGCTACCTGATGGCTGCTTCCCACAGAGAGTGGGGCCATATCAAGGACTCACCCTTCATCTCTCCTGTTGACAAACTGGGCACTCATGTCACTGGGAATTTAGTTCAGAGGCATTGGCACCTGCCTGGCAAGCATGAAGTTGTGAGTTCGACCCCGGTACCTCCCTCCCAAAATAACAGGGGCACTCATGAGAGTACTAAGCCAGTTCAGCCTTGGTGAGGAGCCCATGCTCTATTCTTGTTGTCTTGGCTATGTGTTAGTAAGGTCACTGCTTAAGAACTGGAGAAGATGTGGAAAGAGATTTAGTTACCTGAGAAGACACCGTTTTGTCCATTACTGAAAGCTTCCTCTACAAAGAATGGTTTTAATCAATTAGTCACAATTATCTAGACAAACAGCACTCTAAAGATATGAGAAGGGGTCAATTTTTAAGAAACTGGCTTGCACAGTGAAGGAGACCACAAGTTCAAAAGGAGGGCTGGTTGGCAGGGTAGAGATCCAAGAAAGAGTTGATTTTGCATTCAAATCCAAACATTATCTTCTTGCACAGGAGAGGCCTATCTATGATCTATTAATACTTTCATCTTATCAGGTAGGGACCAATCACATTTATCCCCAAGTCTACTGACTTAAATGTTAATCTCATGCAAAAAAAAATACCCTCAAGGAAACACCCAAATTAATATTTGATGAATTTATCCAGCCAAGTTGACATATATTAATTACCACAACATGTAATCACAAATATCCATCATTCTGTACTCACTCTGTCAAGTGTAGTCTTAACTGCTTATCAAAAAACAAAAGAAGAAAGAGAAAAGATTGAGGGAGAGGTGCTAAACAAAAAAGAACCAGGACTTAATGGTTTGTTAAATTCTCTGCCTGTCCTGCTGCAACAAATGTTAAAATATGAATGTTTACCACAGTTTCTTATGTTAGACTTTTAAGCATATTTCTTTTAGTTTAGTAAGGTACATATTTTAAATATACATGATATGCCTGAAATAAAACAAAACCAAGAGCTGGGGATTTGGCTCAGTAGCGCAGTGCCTGCCTGGCAAGCATGAGGTTCTGAGTGCAACTGCCAATACCACTCCACAAAATAAAATAAAATAAGACCAAGAACAGAAGTAAACAAAGGACTAATTATCTGAATATTCAGGATATATTCATGTTACATTAAGTAGTACTGAATCTTAATCTAAATTTAAAGATAGGTATCAGGTTTGCATATTTTATGTCGTTATACATCATAACCTACAGAATTCTTTATATGTACCAAAATGTACTTAAGTAAAACTTTAAAAGAAGAGTTAATGACACATCTTGATTTATTATTCCTAATCAAACAATTGAAAGATTTGTAGGAGGAAGTACCTGTTTCATTTCCTACTTCATGACCATTGTGGATCTGCTGTAAGCCAGGAACAGGTCTTGTTGTCAGATACCAAACTGCATGTAGAACATCTGTGGCATGTATACGATTGTGATCTAAAGTCACCAAAATATTTTACAGAAACGATCATTCTGTTAGCTTTCTTCTGACACATTTAAGAAGTAAAGACTTTTCTAGTCATACAACATTCTAGTCAATAAATTATATGATAGAATAATTTCCCATAATTGTATTTGGTTTCACCTAGTTTAAAGAACCTTAATATATTAAAAAGTTCTCTTTTTAAAGCTTTCATATATAGTACAAAAACACAGTAATTTCTTTTCAGGCAGAGAAGGGCAACAAAAGATAATTGAAAAGGATGAGAAATTTTTCTCAAGGTTTTTATTTGTGTTTTTTTAAAAAACTGTGTGGTTCTGGATTATAGAGATCAGTACAGAAAATGGTTTTTACACACATAACAGTTACAATCTCTGGATGCTTAAGCTTTTACAAAAATGTTCTTTTAAAATATGAAGCATTCCTATCTCTCAGATTTTCTTTACTGGTATGTGAATACATCTAGAATATTGTCTGAAACCTACAATATAATAATAAGGCAGTGTGGCACAGAATGAGAGATAGACCTAAAACTGAGGCCAGCTTTGCTATCTAGTTTTGAGATCTGAGTTTTTATTTCTCATCTGTAATACAATCTTTGACCAAAGATTAAATGAAATAATCTACATGAACATAATTATTACTCAGTTAAAAAATATTCTATAAAAATTAAACACTTCAACACATTAATAAATACCTACAATATAGAATTAGCACATGATACAACATGATACATGTTTAGGCTATAGACATGACATAGTATCAATTCATTAAGAACTCAGTAATATAACTACCATCTTTTATTGATGATGTACCATGTGCTCTAAATTCTAATATCCTTCTGATTGATAACTTTATATTAACATTCCATGTATAGGCACTACTGTTATTTCTGTTTCCAAATTTATAAACTTAGTTTAGAAAAGTTAGGTTCAGAGCCTGTTTTTTAACCAATATGTTCTAATTAGAGCTGACAGTGAAGACTTCTTAGCATCTTTCTTTTCCATTCTGCGTCCTTTGAAGAACCTTGAGACATCACTATATTCAATTCACAGAATTCAACCACTACTTAAATGTATAGTTTATAAATGTGAGTTATAGCATCATAACTCACTTTAAAATATTAAACATCATTACTAATGGTTATAAAAATTTAAGAATAACTTATTCTCTATATAGTTGAATTCCCAAATACTGTATCCACAAAGAGAACTATACAATGTTTCAACACATAAAGCTGTAGCTTTGCTTAATATGAAATTCTAATTATATTCAATCAAATAAAAATTATTCAGTAAGTTAGAACACAAAAATAGATTTTGTTGATGAATTTTAAACATTTTAAATGCGCAATTTTCCTAAATTCTCGACATGACGTTATTAAACATTTGAAAAGATAAGGAACTCAAACAATAACGTATTACATATTCACTTGTATTACAAGTGAAAAAGTAAATCATAAATAGACATCAGTAGTATGGTTCACTTTACAATACAAATTTATATAAGGAGAAAACCATGTTTATAAGTTGTACATCAAAGTAAAAGTTAACTGTGAGTAAGATACATATTTCTTAAAAATCTCTATTTAAAATTTTCCCAAATGTAAACTGGTGGCACTGAACTAAATGCCTGCAGTCCCAGTACAGTGTCTGGGAAACTGAGGCAGGAGGATCTCTTGGCCCAGGAGTTTCAGATAAACCTGGATAATAGAGTAAGACCTCATCTCAAAAAAAAAAAAAAAATCCAAACATGTAGGTTTAAATGTTCAAGGGACCATATGAAGAGAAAGATGATAAAAAGTTTCAAAATCAGTACTATTTGAATTTAAATAATATATTTTAATACTTACAAGGAATATCTCGATAGCCATTTTCTAATGCACGAAAATAGTTCATGAATTGTTGAGTGGGAATTTTAAATATTTCCAATAAACCAGTATCTTGAAATAAGGTATACATAACCTAAATGTCAATTAAAATAAAGTTCACTTTAAAATCAGAATCTATTTGTAGCTGAGTATAATATGTTTTGTGATTTGAATTTAGGAATGTTAACTATGTGAATGTCTTCAAGTTAATTTATTAAAAACTTCTCTATGACTCTTTCCAGAAAAATAAGGAAATATCACATTAAGGCCCATGAAAACCAAAGAAAGTTTACTACACATATCATGTCTCCAATTTTAAACTTTTTCATTCTCTTTATGTTTCAACTCATAATTTAGTGAAAGGCATTATGAATTCTATTCCATTTGAATCCTGAGTCTCAAAAAAGTCCAAAAAACGTATTTATTATATTTTTGTCCCTAAGTAATTCAGTGAGATGAACTTCTATGTCCTTGCATAATCTGTCCAAGGTTTATGCATTTAAAAATAAGATATTAAAAGAATTAATAAGAGTCATGTTTCAGGAAAGTAAATCTGATACTTTCTGTGGGCCTATTAAGTAGAAACATAAGTCTGGAAATGCAAGTATTTCTCATGGTTCTAAACATGCATTTGGCCTCTGATAATGCACAGGAATAGCAGGTGAAAAAAAATGAAGATTAAATTTCAGTACTTAGAAACTAAATCAATGTTCATGTCCTTTTCTACCTCGAGACAAAAAAAGTCAATATTCTTTTTTAAGTTTTAACTAAATTCTATTAATACAGACAAAGACTACTTTTCATGTATATGTAACATATATATGATTGTTTGTATATATACTATATAATTGTTTTATGTATGTCTAGTGCATCCCAAAAAATAAACACGTCATTATTAAACTAGTACCTAAGCCATACTTAGAAAAACTTTAAGAAATTAGTGTGTAGTAAAAAAAAAAAAGTAGAAATTTAAAAACAAACCTGACTGAGTATTCTTCCTGATTTGTCTCCCATCTTTTCTACAAGCTCAAAAATTTGAAAATTCCAATTACTCATCTTTTCTATTAGTGAGTCATAATCTTCTACTAAAGTCATATCCAGTGATGCTTCCTGTTCATCCTGTTGAGGAAAAACAACAAAAATTCTACTTTTATAAATATTGTTAAATAAACATTTAAATAAGAACACTTAAAATTGAACATTAAAAGTGGCCAGTAATATTTTCAATAATAGTTATCTCAAATGTACTTTTATCTACAATTCTTATGTCTTCTCTTTATAGAATGCTATCTCCAGGCAACTACAAAAATGTCTCTTTTGGCATCAGAAGACTGATTAATCTATTACTTTGATAAATAGAAATGTCACATTTCCAAATCATTACACAAATATAAAATCTATTATTTTCATTTTAAAAATTATGAATATCAATGGATAAAAGAAAATATCCATGTGATTGTACTGGCATTAATGTTCCCAACTATGTAGATGAGATTATTTACTGAAGTTTAAATTCTGAACATGAAAGAACAAGAAAAAATGCTATCCTAAGTAGATTTCACTTTTTAAATGAATATGCACGTCTCTGTAACAAAAAAGTATTATCAGGATAAATGTATCTACTGTAAAACTAAATGTGTTTATTTAAAAAGGAATGCTATTTGTTGCTCTAAAGTTTAGAACTAATTATTATTTGTAACCTAAATATTCTTCTTGTTATAGTGACTTCTCAATAAAAAATACTTAAAATGCTATTATATTAAGAATCTTATTCTAGATGAAAATAATGAAACTAGTACTAACTAGTATTGTATTTCACCTCAACATAATCTTACTGAAAGTTTGCTTTTTACATTTGGTTGTTGTGCCTCTTCAGATAGGTGACTATCACCTTCCAATATTTCTGCAGAATTATTTCTGCCGGCTCCCTTCTCTGTTTTGTCCTCTTGCTGAGATTTCAGAGAGATAAGTGATTCTTCTGAGAAAGTGGTGTTTTCTTCACCTTTTAAAATATATATATATATAGTATTAAATAGAAATACAAACTTGCCTTACATGTACAGCTTTAAAAGAAAAATGCCTATTAGTTAAAAGTATTCAGATAGAGCAAAACATTAATGGAACACAGTCTAAATTGCTTAGTCACAGTGTTAAATTGTGTCTGTCCAGATTATTTTGTCTAGGCACCTTGTGCTTAAGCCATATACATTTCACATACTGGACTCACCAGATATGTGAGATATATCTATTCATCAATCAAGAACAAGGGTAGATACTCCTTAAAAAACTGAGAAACAAAAGTCATTCCTAAAATGTGGAACTTTCTTACCAATCTGATACAAATAACTCTCAATATCACTAAGATACAAAAACTCTTAAGTTCATAATTAGAAATGAATGAGATTAAGCCACATGTATGACCACCATATCATTAGTTATGAATTATGTCTCTGCTCATAAGATAAATAATATTATTAAGTCACATGGAAAGGGGCACAGTATTGGTAGGCAAATGATATTCACATGGTTAAAAGTGGTCCGTTCATTCTTACTCTATATCCAAAACACGAAATTTTCCTAAAATACACCAACAGTTAAACAAATTGTGGTATATCCATACAACTGAATACTACAAAAGAAGAATGAACTAATCACATATAAAATATCGATATCTGACTCTAAAATATAATGTTCAATGAAGGAAGCCAGGAAAACAAGAATAGTCTGTGATTCTTTTTATGAAAAGTTTAAAAGCATATTTTAAAAGATACATAAAATTGCTAAAAGACAGGAACATCATTACTTTTGAAGGCCAGGGCTGGCAGGAGTCATAAAAGGAGTCTGAGGTGATAATATTTAATCTCTTGATCTGGGTACTGAATGAACAGTGTATAAAAATTCATTAAGCCTTCAATATGTGGAGTTTAAAAATTTTATTCCATTAAGAAAAAGAGAGTTAAGAGCACTCATTTGACTTTCAGAAGAACTGGATGCAAATTCTGATTTTCATACAGAATAATGGCAAGATTTTTACCCCTGTAAAATATGGATATCTTACTAGATGTTACACATAAAAGGTGAAAAATAATAATCAAATCTAAACCTAGAATACTGAATGTATCAAAAAATCATTATTGACACAAAATATTATCACCTTGAAAATTTTTTTTCAAATTAAAAACAATTACTTTAGAATATGAAATTTAGAATCCAGTAACCTTCTCATTTCATTACCTACAGTTCCAGGTACCCATAGCCAAATGTGGGTCAAAAATATTAAAAAGAAATTTCCAGAAATCAAATTCGTATTTGACTTCAATGTTTAAATTGTGCATCAATCTGCACATTATCATGAAATCCCAAGCTCTCCTGTCCATCATGACCAGGGCATACATTATCCCTCTGTCCAGTGTATTTATGCTGCACGTGCTAACGCCCTGCTTCTCACTTAGTATCCATCTTAGTTACGGCGCTGAGTATAGTACCGCAAGGCTTGTGTTCTAGTAACTCATTCCACTTAGTAATAGCCTCAGAGCAGCAGAGCAGTCATTGATGCTGACCATTTTATTATGGTATATTGCTATAACTATTTTATTTTATTATTATTATAGTTAATTTCTTACTATGCCTACTTTAAAGTTTACCATACATGTATATGTATAAGAAAAAGCAAACCATGTATAAAACTTGGTACTATCTACAGTTTCAGGCATCCAGTAGGCATTTTGGAATAGATCTCTTGCAGTTAAAGGAGAGACTATCTTATTGAGATTATTAGTATTATAATTAAGGCAGTACCTACAATAATATCCTAAAATAGCACCTAATGTAAAAATTGTTGACATTACTTTTTAATCATCTGAAATTGTCACTATTTGCCACACAACAGTAAAAGCAACTGAGATAATTCAATTACTTTTCCAAAGATGTGTTTTCCAAGTGTGACTAATAAGATGTCATTCTATTATATGCACTTTTTGAAAATGTATTTTTATCACTCCTCTTATCAAGAAAGAATTTTTATTTACCAACCCCTTAGACCTGTGGTGGCAAACCTATGGCACATGGGCCACAGTCAACTGTTCGTCATCACTGAACGCTCTAAAATGTTCACCATCATCACCATAGAATCTTAAGATTATTAATGCTCAAACTGTTGTGATGAATGAGGTATGGCCAAAGTGATAGTTTGTTCTGGGCTGAGCCATTAACTGGATTTGCAACTTCCACACCCTCCTCTCTTGAAAACTGGCCAACAAATTGGAAAAAGCTTACAGAGAGGCCACATTTAGATGGACTGGTCAATAGCCAAGAGGTCCATAAGTACAGTAATCTATCTTAGAAATTCAGCCCATTAGTACGTCAGAGGACAGCCATCCTGGCCATTATCTTATTACAATCACTTGATGGTCCGCAAATGAAAATCTCTCAGCTGAGACCAATCAACCCAAAGAACCATGAGTTTGTTATTCTTTTCTATGAGCCTTTTAACTGTAATTACTGCTGTTAACATCCATCCACTGTACACTGTCTTAGCTCAGAACACTAACAGAATATCATAGACTGGGGCTTTGGTTACAACCAACAAAAATACTTCTCATAGTTCTGACAGGGCCTAAAAAGTCCCAAATCAGAGTGTCAACATGTTCAGATCTTGGTAAGGGCCCTCTTTCAAGTTGCAGATTGCCCATTTCTCACCTGGTGGAAAAGAGGACTAGCGAGTTTTCTGAAATTTCTTTTTAAGGGAGTTGACCCCATTTAAGAGGCCCTACCCTCATGACCTAATTACCTCCCCCAAATCCCACATCTATATTCAGGGCAGGATTGAAATATATAGACTCGGATGGAGCACATTTAACTCACTGTGTAAGTGTACAACTTAACAATTTTAGTAAATTTAGTTATGCAACTACGATACCATACCATTTTCAGACATCCTCATCACCCCCCAGAAAGTTCTCTCATACCTATTTACAGTTAATCCTCACTCTTACCTTAGGCAACGACTGTTCTGATTATCTCTACAAACTTGCCTTTTGAAAATTTAATTGTAACCATATAAAACAAAATATTAGGGCCAGGGATTTAGCTCAGTAGCATAGGCACCTGCCTGGCAGCACGATGTCATGAGTTTGATATCCAGTACGCCCTCCCACCAAATTTTTGAGCCTGGTTTCTTTATAGCAACATTTTTTATTCATGCTGCAGCATAAATCAGAAGTTCATTCTTTTACTTAATAGCCTTCCATGTTACAGACGTACACATGATGCGTATTCATTCACAGGCTAATGGGTATTTGTATTGCTTTCTGGTTTGCACCATCATGAATAGTAATATTATAAGCATGCCTCTGAGTACGTATATTTTTTATTATGCATAGTCCTAGCTGTAGCACTGCTGAGTCATATGGTAAATGTATGAAATTCTAAACACTGTCAAAGTGTTTTCCAAAGTGCTGACATTATTTTATATTCCCAGCAACAGCGCTCAAGGGTCAACATTTATCTGCATCTCTGCACAATGACTGTCTTTTTGCAAATGATTCCTCTTAAATTGCTGTCTTTTCATTTTCTTTCATCTTTTGCAAGGAAAGCTTTTGTTTTCCTAAAGCTCACTTTGTAAATTTTTTTTCATATTTGGCCAAACTGTATGTAATATGCCTTATTCAACCCAATGTCACAAGGACTTTACCCTGTATTTCAGAAGTTTTATGGCTTTAATTTTTATACTTAGGTCTATGATTTAGTTTTAGTTTCTTTCTGTGCATGCAGTGAGGTAAGGGCCTATGTTCTTTTTAGGGCCAAGTGGATATCATATTGTCCTGGTACCATCTGTTGAAAAAAACTATGGTGGGCATGGTGGCAGACACCTGTAATCCCAGCACTTGGGAGCTGAGGCAGGACTGTTTCAAGTTCAAGACCAGCCGGGACTACAAAGTGAGCCTAAGGCCATCCTGAACTGCACAGCGAGATCCTGTCTCAAAAAGACAAACAAACAAACAAACAAAAAAAAAAAAACCTATCTTTTCCCTTTTGAATTGTCTTGGCATTGTCAAAAACCAACTGACTATAAATACAGTTTCCTCGTTAAGTCTCAACTCTGTTCTACTGCTACGAGCTCACCATTGTGACAATACCACAATGTCCTAATTAGTGGCTTTATAACAGGTTTTCAGATCAAGTAGTTTAACCCCTCCAATTTATTTTTTCAAATTTTCATTGGCTACTGTAGGCATCATGTATTTCTATATAAATTTTAACAGCAACTTACCAGTTCCTACCAAAAAAAAAAAAATCTGTTTTGAGTTTGGTAAGGATTGTGTTGAATTTGTAGATCAGTTTAGTAGAACAGTCATGTTAATAATATTGAGTCTTCCAGTCAGTTATCATTAAATGTATCTCTAAAGTTTCTCTAATTTTTATCATCCAGGTTTTATATAATTTTCAGCACACTTATCTTTTACTTATTAAATGTATCCACACTACTTTATTCTTTTTGATATGTTGAGTGGAATTATTTTCTTCTGATTTATAACATTTTATTTACAGTGTACAGAAATAGAACACATTATTGTGCAATGATCTTAAATCTTTAAAAATTTTGCATTTAGTATATGTTTGTGATACATAATGAATTTATTCGTTGTAGGGTAGTGGTACATACAACATCACATCCTTTATATTTCTCTTCTTCTCCGTTCCCCTCCTTCCTACCTCTCCCTATCACTAGATTCTCCTTATCATCAATTTTGTGACTCTGTCAAACTTATTTATTGTCTGTGTTAGTGTGGTAGGTGTGTGTGTGCATGTATACATGCATATTTCTTTGGGATTTCTACACAAAAGATCATATATAATTTGTGAATATTGATAGTTTTATTTCTTCCTTTTGATTCTAGGTGGCTTAATTTATTTTTCTTTTTAATTTCCCTGACTAACCTAACTAGTACAATATTGAAAAGTAATGAGCCCTCAAATTACATCTTGTTACTGGTCTTAGAGGGGGAAACCATCAGTCTTTCTCCACTCAGGATTTTAGGTATGAATATACAGTTTGTCAAGTACAAGATCTTCCTAGTTATTCTTAGTTTCTTTTCTAATCACAAAAAAAGTATTAATTTTTTTCTTCTTTACTGGGATTATCATGTGGGTTTGCCCCCCGTTATTGTTTCACTGTGGTGGATTACATTGATTGATTTCTGGATGTCCAGACATCCTAGGATAGGACTTGGTCACGATGTAACTATTTTATATAGCTGAATATAGTTTGCTAGTATTTTATTAAAAATTTCTGTATCCATACACATAAGACATATTGGCCTATAGTTTTCTTGTAATGAATTTGTCTGGTTACAATGTGAAGGTAATACTGGTCTCATAAAATGAGCTAGAAGTTCTCTCGTTCTGTATTTTTGAAAGTTTGTGAGACTGGTCATCATTGTCTTTTTTTTAATTAAACAATCCTTCGAGATGTGAAAATAAAAACCAATACAAAAATTGCTTAGCTGGCCACTATAAAGGAGCAAATTTTATAGTATGTGAATGGATTTATATGAGTCTATCAACCTTGAAAGGACCTATTTCTGGTTTACCAGAAAGTGCTAGAAAGTACTTTTAAAGTATAGCACTTCAGCATTTACCAAGTTATGCCCACCACAACCATACCTGTTTGTATCTCATAAAGCTATTCCCCCAAAACTTCTGATTCTGTCCAATGATGACCCCTCAGGAACTGGCAAGATACCCTTTTGTAAGCCCCAACTATAGCCCTGTTTTCTTGAACTTTTCTCCTCTAATAATTCTTGGGAGCTTATCAGTAATTTAATGAATCAATGAATTTAATGGATCAATGAATTCAAGAGATTAATTAGTAATTTAGATTTTAAAAAATAATTTTTCAGCTTTTCTAGCTGTACTTATGAAAAAGTTGGCCTGAATTAACTATTTAAGTATCACTGATAAGTGGGCCATTGATTACAGTTATAAAACAATTTCATCAGCAATATTTTTTGTTTGAGGATATGTTTCACAAGGATACAATTAACCAAATTTTAAAACAGTTCCTCTCTATACTATAAAAATTTATACATTCTTCAGACCCCAGTACAGTACAAATTTCAAAATTATAAGTAATTTCATCATTTATCAACACTAGCCACAACCAAAGACTGCATTCATTTGTATAACACAGTTTCATTCTTCAAAATACCTCCATCTATTTTTATAGTAACTGTATTAGATAAAAATATTCACTTTAAAAACTGATAAATGGAAGCTAGAGCTCTAGCTTATTGGTAAGAATGTTTGCTATAGCTTATTGGTAAGAATGTTTGCTTAGCTGTAGGTTCAATCCTCAGCACTGAAAAAAAAACTTAAAAGATTGATAAATGAATGTTAAATTCCTCATTTACGCAATTGAAAAAAACATAGCATGAAACTGCTCTTAATCTCAAATATATACTATTTGGACAATCTCACCTGATTTTCCACTGTGGGGGTCTGGTTCACATGTTGAAATGTGAACATGTTGAAATTTTTGTATTTGATTTCCACAGCTTATAGAATAAAACAGACAAACATACATATATGATAATGATTAGAAAATCTGCTTAATTTTTAAACAAAATCTCAACTGCTACACATCTTAATATCCTAATCTCTCTATAAATTTAAAAGGCTTTAACCTAAAAAGCATTTGTGTGTCCTTAAAGGATAAAACATATTCTCAAAAGTCAATATTCAGGGCCAGGGATATAACTCATCAATACAGCACCTACCTGGCAAGCACGAGTCATAAAGTGGATTCCCGGTACAAAAAAAGTCAACATTCAGATCTGAGGTAAACCCATTTCCCTGTCCAATTAGAAATAACTGATGACACCACATGAACTATGTACTGTGAACAGGGACTAAAGTAATGTATATTAAAATGATTCTCTATTATTGACATAATATGATGGGTAGAATAATATTTCACTTCAGAGCTCATTTAATTAGAAAACAGAAATAAGAAAAAGGTTATTTCAAATAAACAATTATTAGATCAAAAAGAAAGAAGATATATTCTTTACTCATAATGCAGTTATAAGATAGATAACAGGTAATAGTTTATTAAAATAACCTATATTTTGAAACAAAAATAATAAAGTTAGAAACTTACTTGTTACACAAGTTGCTATCAGGATTTCTAAGGTGCTGATAAAATTCTGGTGTACTGGGTACATTGCTCAGAGATCTGTGTAAAATAACACTTGGCTTAGTAAGAAAATCAGCAGTGTCAGGAAATTCAATGGTTGACCGATTAGTTAGAGAACCAGCAGGCACTGATCCATGGCTGGGAAAATTCACAGGACTCAGGCTGGGTAAAGCACCTTAAAAATTAAAAGAGGAGATAGACAAATATATATCTATATGTATGCATTCACTGTATATATTCTTTTTTATATTTATTTTTTATATTCTTTGAAGAAAGTATTTGCAATTAAATGATAAAATCACTTTCTACACGGAGTCTCAAGACATTTCAGAAACTGACAAAACAATTATATTTATGGTCACCAAAAATGATTGCTGAAAAAAAAGAGTAATAGCACAAAACAGATAAATATTGAGAATATGATTAAAATGTACATACTGTATGGCATGAATTTTCCTAATTCATGTTAGTCTTTATCTTTCACATTTTATAAAAGATATTGGAATGATTATCTACATAAGCAAAGTACTCTACTAAATTTTATTGATTTTTCTCAATTCACTAACATTTAATTTTATTAAAGAGCTAACGTTGTTAACAGTGTTAAGTTAAAATAAAAAATTATATGCTAAGAGTTTGCTGATTCATTCACTCAACAAATATTTGAAAGCTTACTGTGTGTTAAAAATTTTATAAGTGTATGCATGTTGAGGACAGTGAAAAAAGTTTTACTTCATTTGATTTTTACAAGGATATGTCATTAAAGAATTCTATGCTGGTATTTTTACTCCTTTGACATTTTAAATATGCCAATGTATAATCTTTGGTTCCTGTAGTTCCTGTTGAAAAGTTAGTGCATTACTGTTACTTGGAAAGTTACCTTTTCTGGTTACTTTTGAAATTTTCACTTTATAAGTCATGGGTTTCACTGATATATCTACGTATCATTTTCTGAGTATTCAGCTTGTTTGGGTTCACTGAGCTTTATGTGTCTGTTGGTTTTTTTATTTTCCTGTAGCTTTAAAAAGCTTTCCATGTTATTTTTGTGTCCTTTTCTTTTGCAATTCTATTCACATGTATTAAAATGTTGTATTCCATATGTATAATATACTTGTTCTGTTAATTATGCATTATTTCCCTCTCTGTGCTTCAGTTTGGCTATCTTCTCTGTCTCTCCAGGTTCACTGTTTTTATTTTCTGTTTGTCCAATCTATACTTAAACCATTCAACAACTTTTTAATTTAATTAAATGTACTTCTCGGTTCCAAACTGTCCATCATTTCTTTTTTATGTGTTATAGTTCTATTGAAATTATCCATTCATCTTGCCCATTTTTCCCTTCTATTTTTAAAAGCACCACTGTTACATTATAAGATCTGTTAAATCCAACATAAATATGTATATAGATATTCTAGGGCTTATTTTTGATTATCAATAATATTTTTCTGCCTCTTTGCATTTTATATTTTATTGTGTATGAAAATTTTATGACTGGATATCCTGTTATACCTAAATGAAAAATACATATTCTCTATTAAATGTTATATTTGTAAAATACCTTTCCATACAAAAGTTAAGTGTTCCATAATCATTAATCCTACTGAATGACTTGCCAGAATATAAACTGGGTTTTTCTCTACTCTAACATTAAGATTTTTTTCTCCACAAATACCAAATTACAAAGAACCCTTTTCCTTGAGATTTTTCCCTTGTTTTCAATCTGTAAATATTTAAGTTAATATAAGTTTTATATTTTACCTATGAATTCCTTGTGCCTAACAAAGTACCTAGAAAATACTTGATATTCATAATGCATTTATTGGATGAATGAGTAGCCAACCCAAAGTGCCAATTCATATTAACTTAAAATATATGAGATGGTATTCAAAATTAGATATAAGTGTGAAATGAAAAGAATTTATACTGTCATTTATGTTGAAAGTACCATATTTAAATCAGAATGCTTTCTAAGCTAGATGAAATGACACATGCATGTGCTGAAGCACGATGATTCAGCCTGGACAAAATAGAGAGACACTGTATCTTAAAAAAATAAAAATAAATTTTTAAATAATGTTTTTTTACCAGCTCTCCTCAGACCTGCATGGTGAGTCAGTGATACAGAAGATGACCTTTGCTTTGGGGCTGTCAGTAGATTTGCACTAAAAGGTCCATTTAGATGGTATCCTTGACTAAAAAGGAAAGTAAACAGAAAAATTGTAATTGTTTGATTATATTTCTCATATAAGACAACGTATATTTTAACAGTTCCAATCCTGCCATCTATTGTTGCAACTGTGAAACTTTACAGCTCAACTAAAGTATAGCATCTAACCAATAATAACAAACAGTTGGATTCATTATCCATTAGAATTTACATTAATTCTAATGTTATTAACATAGGAAACTGATTAAGGAGAACTATTAACCCATGTAAGAGGTCAATATCTTTCCTGGCTTTTAGAAGAAAAGTTATTAAATCTTTGTTATCAGAGAAAATGATATTAACATTCAGAAAATTTTAGCTCGTGCATTTTTCTAGTCTGAGTTGCAATTTTTGATGGCATGAATTTATAGGATTAGTACTGTTTTTTCCTAAGTAAATTCTCAACAGATGATAGAATTCATTAGTAGTCCTGGCCTGTTTTAGAAACAGGGCTGAAAGTCTTGCTACTTCAACCCTAACAATGGTGATGAATCCTGGGAATGTGCTCTTCCCTTTACCACAAGTAACTCTGCAGACCTACCTTAGCGTACTCTATACTACACTGGTGACTGTCCCAGTAATGGCCACCTCCATCAATTTAAAAACTGTCACAGTACCCTGTCCTAAATTGATTCTAATTTCTTTAAACTATCTAATTCATATTCTTTATGGCTCCAGCATTTTTTCTACCCAATCTACTTAAATTTTAAGGAAGAGCACGTTGATTTTGTTTTAAAAGTCAATTTCATCATCATACCTATCATTACTATTGATGCTGTCATACACCTAAAATACTTCATTCCTTTCTGCTCTTGAAACTATTTCAAACTTTATTCATGGGGGAAAAAATAAGGTGGGTGCTTTAGTTTCCTTAAAAGGCTCTGGGGATTTTACCTTGAAATGCTGAATTCTTGATGAGGCCTTTGGCCATTACCACGTTCCCACTTTGAAGACTGCTCAACAGGTGACAATCCTGAAGTTCCTGAGCTCCTTCGGAATTGTGTGCTTGGTAAACTATTCTTACTACTTAGTCCCTGTTGAATAATTTAACAGAGGTTAAAACTGTCATCTTTTAATATAATGTACATATAATAATAATGATGGCACATAAAAAATCAATACAAAGTGTATTTTAACGTGTGTAAGAAAAACTGAAAATTTTGTTTTGAAAATGTTTTCATTTACTTCCAATTTTACTTTCCATACTATTGTTCTACTTATCTTTGTCCTAGTAAACAGTGGTTTCTGAACACCTTACAATTTAAACTAGGGGGTTTTTTGTTTACTTTTTTGCCATTTCACTCCTAGTTTCAAGAGAAAGAAACACTTGGATATTTAAAAAGTGACCCTGAAAATCAACTTCAGAGGAGAAGCATAGGATCAGAGATGAGCAGTCTATATTGTAATATTTTTTAATATTTTAATGTTTTTAGTACAGTGATATCTAATGGACCAAGTGCTTAATCTGAGGAAACTAACTTAAATATAGAACATGTTAAACATTAATATTTTATCTTAATTTTAAAAATATTCCAAATTAATCCAAAATTCAAGTAAAAGAAATACTCCATTTGACCAATGTGAATAGGTGTTTTGCTAAAACTTATATGGCATAATTTTTGTTTCTTATGAATTTCCCCTATTATCAGAAACTCCAACAATCTCAGAGAGTATATTATATTTCAGTTGTCCCAAGGATATTAATTTTGTAAGGTCCATGGTTAATTGAACCTACAATGAAAAAGTTGTTGCTAACTAAAATTTAGGTTCATATTCTCTTTTTGTTCTTCACACAAACAAGATATTTATATTGTCTATTCCTATACTGTTCTGTTGACTAATATTTTTCATAAATGCTATGGTTCTTTTCTGAGGTAACATAAGGCTTTTTATATGCTTTTCCAAAAGCCCAGATATTTATATATGGAATTCTAATGAGTTTAAGAAAAAGAATAAGAGTTACTTCCTGGTTCTTATATGACTTATATCAGTAGATTCCAGCACCCAAAGTAAGCCTGATTAACTACAATGCTCAGGAAATGAGGTGTTCAGACATCTGGTTTAATCATTATTACACTTATAATATTTCTGAAATGTACCACTATTCTTTTGTATAGAATAAATGTAGTAACAACCATAACAGTGCTATCAATATGATTTTTTATGATTAAGATTTTTAAGAATTACTATTTTTAACTACTGTCATAAGTAACAAATTGTGAATGGCAAAATGCAAAGCAACAGCAATGTATAAGGTGAAAGCTAGCTCAAGAATATATTGGTTATATTATTATTACTTTTTTTTTTTTTGATTCCAGGGATTGAACTTGACCTCACCCTTATCAGGCAAGTGCTTGAGCTACTGAGCTAAACCCCAGCCCTTTTGGTTACTTTATTGATTTATTGCTATTCCATGAATTTTGGATACATGTGACTAACTTTTATTCTGGTGAAGCACAAAAAAAATTTTCTAAGTGCCACTTAGACTAACACAGGCAGTATTACATGAGCTATTTTAAAATAAAACTATCACATAATGACCTAAAATCCAAACTGTCATCAATAAATTTTAAATCACTTGGCCCTAATTGAGCTTTGTTAATTTTTCAACATTTCTAAACTCTCATACTAAGATCTGACAGACCGAAATTTATCAAAATCTTCCAAAATCTCTATTAAACTTATTCTAAATTCTATATACATTGTTACAATTAACGAAATCTCCTGAACTGAATTTCATCATCTCTTGATTATAATTTCCTTAGATACAGAATAAATTAGATGAACTAGAATAATCTCTAAATATTTCTAATTTTAATACTTATGATTTTAGCTACTGGTGATGCTATCAATAATTACTCAAAAGCCTAAACAAAACTGTATAGTAATAAAGAGAAATTAATACCACATCTAATGGTGGAAAAATTTGTCTCAACTGATCTATAGCAAACCCTTTTAAGTAAAAAAGGTTCAGAGGAACAGGGTCTCTACAGCAAACCTTTGTAAGTAAAATGGTTCAGAGGAACAGGGTCCAAAGAATATGAATCATTTTTAAATAATTTCATATATTTCATAATATAAATACTATCATGACAATTTCTTCAACAAAAATAATTTCTAGATTTTAAAGGATCATCTACATTTTTGCACAAGCCTAGAATTTGCTTGGTCTGCATTTCTTAATAATAATAATAGCTGCATTCAAGTTATAACTGCTAATCACAGCAGTGTTATTTAAAATAAAAACTGAATACTCATCCAGAATTGTGTTAACTTCCCAGAAAGTCCCAAACAGCAGTGTTATTTAAAATAAAAACTGAATACTCATCCAGAATTGTGTTAACTGCCCAGAAAGTCCCAAACAGCTAATTATAACATAACCGAAGTTGATCTTTGAAAAGAAAATTGTATGCTATGTAATATTTAAATAAGCAGTTTTAATCTGAAAATATCAATAAGGCTGGATGACTGATGTATTTTAACCTTATGAAGTTTTCGATCTGCTTTCTCCACTGGATCTTCTATTTCAGAGCAGGGATAAAATCCAGGAAATGGGGTGAGAGGATTAATCTTTGGCCTACAGGAACTAGAGAAAGCACCCATCAAGCTGCTAATGCTCCGTAGGGAAGAAATGACTTGTGGGGGAAGGCTTGGGTCCACCAGAAGATCTGACACCATATTGCGAGCTTCATTTAGTACTGAAAGATCAACTCCATTTCCACCTCCAGAATTCTAGAAAAGTGAAAACACTAAAATTATGTATTTGTCACACAAAAAAGACAATATTAAGCTCTTCTTTAAATCAAGGTATATGACATAAGTAATTTAATTCTACTAATATAAATTTCCATTCATTTGGACAGGCATAAGTGACATACATCAAATGGAATAATTCTAATTTTAAAATTTTGATATATACTATAATACTGTGGATACTATAAGCTTCTTTATATTAGCTTAATTCATTGCTAACAGTATTCACCACTAACTTACTGACTTTAAAATTTGTATAGAATTATAATATTTAAGATTTTATAATTTGTATATTTCATTAATGTATTGACTATTTCCTTTCCATTATATCAAAATTTCTTTCAAATACATAAATCATCTCTTTCATTTACCTTACTTATGAAACACAGTACCTTAGTGACAAGGGTCTGTGGCAAAACCTCTTCAGTTTGAAATCTACATGTTAAGCCTAACTCTGTGACCTGAACAACTTATACTAACACCTGAACATTTCAGTTTCTTCAGTGTACAATGGGGATAAGAATCTACTTCGTTAATGGTTGATAAGAGAATTAAATCTGATAAGGCGGTGTGTAGTGAATATATTTAATGTACAATAAACAGTATTACCATCAGTATTAGGGAAATGTACAGAAAAATGGTATTATAGTTTAAAAGAGACAGAAATAGGTTTGATATAAATGATTTGGAAAAGCTTTTGGGAGGGATGGTGTTTGAACTGGGCCCTAAAAATGTGGCAGGATTATATTTATGATATTGGGGGGAAATTTTTTTAAAATGAAACTAAAGGAAAATAACCAGGAAAACTCATTATACAAGAGGGAAAGAGCAAGTAAATGTACCAAATGATAAAATAAGAGATGTACAGGAAATATGAAATCGTTTAACTACGGGCTGTGTGAAAAAGAGCAATGAAAAATAAGGTTCAGAAGGCACCAAATGTTGGAGAATACTGCGTTCCACACTGCATTGTTAATAGAGGCTTACAGCAAGATTAAAAGAAGAAATAAAGCAAGGAAAGAAAAGAGAAAGTAATGAAAGATGATGAAATTTGGATAAGATACGTGCATATATGTATTATACATATATATTATATATATGTATGTACGTATATTTTCCAGAAGGCAACATTTATATCAAGACCTAACGGGTGTGGGAGACAAGCATTCTAGTGGGCAAAGAAACCTGGCAAGTCCAAAGATGTAGAAGCAGATTATTTGACTTGTCTGAGGAATAACATTGAGGCCAGCACATCTACCACAGAGTAAACAAAGAAGAAAGCAGACAACAAGTGAGAGGAACATGAAGGGAACCAGACCATGTCAGTTCTTTGACATCCATGACCAGAACTTCAGCTTTTCTTCTTGGGGAGACAGAATGGTAGTGAGCAAGACATGATACAGCAGCTTATACCAGATCAAGTGAAATATTCAAATTATTTGCTATAATTTAAAACTTGAACTTAAATACGTATTTCTCATGGGCTTGTATTTGGCAAAATCCTGATTTTGTACAGAAAGCTAAGAATGGTTTATACATTTTAAATGATTATTGAAAAAGAGGCAAAGGGGAGTTGGGGGACAAAAGGGAAAGGAAAACGGGAAGCTGCAGAGGTGGCAATGGCCATACTTTGCATGAAAATGCTAAAATATGTACTCTCTGATCATTTATAGAAAAAATGTTGATTTGTCTTACACTGCATTCCAAAGGCATCAGTATATACTATTACTGAAATTAACACCAGCATACATTTTTATTCAGTGCCACTATATTTTTCATCAGCCCTCTGAGGGAACTGGTATTATTCTCAGTATAGGTAAGAAGTAGATTTGGAGTGACTTCAGAAGCTTTCTTACTTTCCCCTCAATCTATTTCCTTGTTTCTATAGTCTTCTACTTATCTATCACCTCTCCTTTTCCCTCCCCCTAAGAAATTTTTTTAATAGAGTCCACCTACTAGAGAAAATATGTAGTTATCTGACTTTCTGAGTTTCGCTTATTTCAATTAACATAACAGTCATTTGCACTAAAGTTCCATACTTTTTCTTGCAAATGTCACAGTTCCATCATACAGGTGAACAATATAATATTCCATTCCACATTTTCTTTATTTACTCATTGTCCCACACCTAAGGTGTTTCCACAGCTTAGCTGTTTGAACTGTGCCACAATAAACATGGCATGCAAATACCACTAGACTATGATGTCTTTAATATACCAGGGAGTGGGACAGCTGGATCAAATGGTATCTACATTTTTAGATTTTGAGGAAGCTCTACAATGTAGTTTTGATTTTCATTTTCCTAATGGCTAAAGATGTTGAACATTTTTATATACTTATTGGCCATCTGAACTTCTTAAACAAGAGATGAGGGCCAGATGTAGCAACACGCACCTATGGTTCACATTATGTAGGAGGCTGGGGAAGGAGGACTCTTTGAGCCCAGGTATTAGAGGCCATCCTGGGCAACTTAAGAGAACCCAGTTTTCATTAAAAAAAAAAAAAAAAAAAAAACACAAAACTGCTAAATAAAATTAAAGGACTGATAAACTGGCATTATATTAAAATATTTACTATATACATTTATATGAAAGTGTACCTTACAAATATATAAAATAAATCAAATATATTTATTATATATTAAAGTATATAATATCTATTTTCATCAAAATGTACCATACGAAATGATACATGAGGACTTTTTTTAACATAAATCAGTTATATAATATACATATATGTATATAATGTAGATATGTATATATTTTCATTTCTAGAATATAAAAAGGATTCCTACTATTAAGTAAAAGATTAAATAAAATTAACTATAAAATATTTAGACAGACAATTAACATATGAAAAGGCCTGCACTTCAACCAAGAGGTGTCATCAGTTAAGTACAAATATTTAAGTTACAAACATGACAGTCACATGGTTACCAAAATTATGAAAAAGAGATACCACCAAGTATTGGTGAGGATGTGGGACAACTGGAACTCTCATACTGTTAATGGTTGAATAAAAATTAACACAAACTCTAGAGAATTTATTTGGCACTATTAATAGTGAACCCTTTTAAGAATAGGCTAATAATTCATCCCAAGTTAATATAACTCACAAGTGATATCATTACAATAGCATTACTTTCAATAACCAAAACAGTGACTATCTACTTGAACAGTGGATGAATTGTAATATACTTAATTCAATGGGATACTAGAGTATGATTCGATTACTGCTACATTTAATAATATTAATCTCACAGATAAATTTTGAAAAGAAATAAAAATACAACATTTGTTTTTATTTATATAAAACTTTTAAAACTCATAATAGCAGAAATCAGGATCGACGTAATGCTTGAGGAAAGTTAATGACAAAGGAAAGTATATGAGGGCTTTCCAGGTACTCAAATCCTCATCCAAATGATGGTTGCATGTGAGTATTCAGTCTGTATTTTTATAGATGAATGTTACAATTCACAGATCATTTTAAAAAAAAGAAAAAACAGCAAAAATAAATAAAAATAAAGGGCCAAAGTGCTCAATATCATACACTAGTCTGTCTGACAAGTGCATGGTCTTGGCCATTACTACGTATTTACTTTTAGATTTTATCAGTAATTTGGATACTTTTTATTGGAAACTGAGGGTTTGTGTGTATGAATAATGACAACCCACAATGTAGTAGGCCAATAAACCACCCTTCCTTCTTTTAGGTCAGGTGTAGCCAGCTCCTTGATTTTTACCTGACTGTAATGGTTTATAGTCTTTTGTTCATCAAAGTCTACAGAATATTCTTATGGACCATTGTGGCTATTACATTCACTGTTCAAAAATAAAAACCAGCCATTCAAAGGAGTGTTCATTTTTCAAAAACTGGTGTTGGGAAACTATTAAAATAATAATAAACATGTATAACATTCCTGTGGCAAATAATTTAATATTTATTATTTATCATTGTGAAAAACACCAGGTTTCAAAATAGCAGATGAAATATAACAGTTTTTTGGAATAGAGTATACATTTGTATCAGGAGATCTATAAAGATGTACATCAAAATTAGCAAAGTTAGAAAAACATAATAGATTAATGTTTTCAAGTAATTTTTTCTCCATATTTCTATTTTCAACTCATCTGACATGAACATAGTTAAAAATTAATCTTAAAGTATGTATTATTTCATTTATAAACCTCAAAAAATCAGCTAATCAGTAGAAGTCAGCAGAGGAATTATCTTTGGAGATACAGGTAATGCCTGGAATGGGGCATAGTGAAGCCTCTGGGACATTGGTAATGTTCTATTTCTTCACAAAGATACTAGTTATATGAGATGTTTAGAAAGTGAAAATTCACTCAGCTACATAGATAGTATGCATGTTTCTGCATGTGTGTCATAACTGAAAATGAGCGTATCCTTGTTTCCCTATAAAAATACTTTGCCAATTGCTCTGCTGTCTCAAATGTGGCCTTAAATCTGTTCATTTTCTTCTGGAGATCAGCATTTCACATCAGAAAAGAAAAATATTCTTATCTTTAACATAAAAATATTACTTTATCTGAGCCCAGACTACATTAATAATAACATTTTAAATGACTGTTTATGTAAGTTGGCTTATTTTCTTTTCCTTTACATTTAAATGGTATTTTTTAAAAACTCTACCTCAGTGAAGGTTCTAGTTAACTTAGTTCTAGAACTTAGTTTGCTAAAGAAAACTTTATGACATAGAAATCTTGCAAATGTAACTTTAAGGTCAAATTTCATTATAGATATTAGTTATCAGTGCTATTTTATTTACCTGGTAATGAGGCTTATACCACTGCTTTAAGTCCCAATCCCAAAGAATCATCTAGAAAAAAAAATCCATTTGGTTAAGATCAGAAGTAAATAAATCAAATGAATGAATGAATGTAAAGACAAACTGCCATTTTTCAATTATATATACCCCAAACCGCACTTTACTTTGTGAGGGAACCAGGGAAGTAATAATAAAAATAATCTTTTATTTAATTACTTTATACAAATTACAACTGAGAAATCAAAATAGTAATCAGATAAAGTCTCTAAAAAAATCTATAGCTTTCAAATATTACAAAAAAGTAAAATCCAAAAATGTATCTAATCATTAAAAATGCAAGAAAAATTAAAAATCAACAACCCCCCCTTCAAAAGGCTCATATTCATTATTTTAAAATCAGTATAAATGAGTGGAGCTATTTCCTTACCCATAGGACACTTCTGTGAAACGTACCATAAAAGCTGTAGTCATGGTGGCCAGATTATTTATAAAGGAACGGATTCATGAAAAGCAATATATACACCATTTACTATGCAGATAATTAGTGATTGTATACCTGGTTATCTCCTTTCTAGACTACCAATGGTAATATCTTAGCCCCAGATAAGTTCTGTCCTGCCTTCTCCAGAGGCTTGAATTCAGGCTGCCTCTCTATTCAATATAAATAGTCACTAGGTCCAATGAGATATGAACTTTAATAATCATAAATCTCAAGTTTATTCACTTAAGAATAAGTCTCTTCTTTTTTGCCTCAATTATTCGTTGTTACTGCTATTATCTAACTTTCAATCCTAGCCTTGACTATAGGCCAACTTAATTTGAAATATAATCATATAATTTCCTTATGCTGTACTACCTGTGTTGTTTCTTGTCCTTGGTGTTATGTCTTTTGGTTGCAAAAATCTTAAAAATTTTATCTATTTTGTCATTTGTCTGGTGTTTTATCAGGAGTTGGTAAAACTGTTCCTATAAAGGAACAAAGTATTTTACAAGCCACCTAAGGTCTTTGTGGTTTATTGTTTTTCCTCTTACAATTCTTTTAAATATGTAAAAAATATTCCTCATAAAAGGGTCATACAAAAACAGACTGTTGGCAAGTTCTTGTCAGTGGGCTCTAATTTGCTGAGTCCTATTTTACACTCACCATTTGTCATTCAAAAACATGTCATTTATTATCATCAGCTTCTGCTTGACATCCTTACAGAAAATAATTTCTTTCTTCCCAATGAAAAAATCTATTTCCCCCTGCTACAGCCATGACCAGTATTAATTACAGCTGAATAAACTATACAGACACTATCTATCTGGAACCAAGACCAACACAGTCTACCCAACCAACACGCTAGGATACACATACAGAGAAAACTCTTTACTGAGTAAAACTTGGAAAAACAATTCACCTGTTATACAGGCAAACAGCAACATGGGGACACAAAAAGCACTGAAAAGCAAGTAACACGATGCCTCCCTCCACAGGAACGCTAAAGTTTCTAATAACAGATTCCAGAAAAAAAGAAATTGTTCCCAAAACAGTATCTAGGAATAAATTTAATGAAAGAAGTAGATGATGTCTGTCATAAAAAATATAAAACACTGAAGAGAATACAAAGATGGAAGCATGTCCCATATTCACAGATCGGAAGAATTACTACTATTAAATGTCCACACTACCCAGAGCAACCAGAGATCCAATGAAACTTCCATCCAAATACCAAACAGAAACAGAAACTGAAAACAACAGTCCTAAAATTTGTACGGAATCAAAAAAAAAAAAAAATCCACGTGGCTAAAGATATCTTAAAAACAAAACAACAGCTGGCAGCATCAAAATATGTGACTGTGAAGCTACATTAAACTGGTATTAAAACCAAGACATGTACCAATGGGGCAAAATGGTGAACTAACTCAGACGTAAATCCATGCATCTAAGCCAAAAACATACTGGAGAAAAAGCAGTTTCATTAATACATGATGCTGGGCAACTGCATATCCATATACAAAACAATGAAACTAGACCCATTATCTTTCACAATATACAAATTCAACTCAAATGGAGCAAGGACTTAAATAATACCTGAAATAAAGAAACCACTAAAGAAAATGCAGAAACACATATACACTGGTATAAGCAATGATTTTTTTTAAAAATCCCAAAAGCACAAGCAATGAAAGCATCATGTATAGACAAGAGAAATTATATCAAATTTAAAAGCTTACACACCAAAAGTAACTATATTAATGACACAATCTGAAGAGTGAGAGAAAATATTTGCCAGCTATTCATCTGACAGAGAATTAATACTCAGAATACACAAAGAACTCAAACTACAACAACAAAAAAATAACATGAGTTTCAAAAGGGCAAATGATCTGAGTAGATATTTCCCCCAAAAAAATACAAATGACCAGTATGTGCATGAAAATATGTTCATCATATTTTATGATCAGAGGAATACAAATAAACACAATGAGATATTCTCTTCCCCACTTAAAATGGCCATCAGCAAAAAGCAAAAGAATAGCAAATGCTGACAAGGATGAAGAAAAAGGGAAATTCTCATATTCTTGGTGGAAACAGAAAACATACTTCTCAAAAAGCAAAAAAACGACTACTACTATTACTATTTTTTACTGGCTATATAAAGGAAATAGTATTAGCCTGCTGAACAGATATTTGTAAAAAATGTGGAACATATATACAATGGAATACTATTCTACCACAAAAAAGGATAAAATCCTGTCTTTTGCAGTGACATGAATTAAACTACAGGACATTATGTTAAGTGAAACCAGTCAAGTAATGAAAGACAAATACCACATATTCTCACTGACATGTGGAGGGTAAGAGTCAATTTGACAGAAGTGAAGAGTAGTGTTACTAGAGACTAGGGAGGGTAACAGACACCAAAATAAAGATACATGAGAGGTAATTTCTAATTTTCTGCAGCACAGTAGGGTGACTACAGTTTAAAAAGTTTGCTATATATTTTATGAGAACTAGCTGGGGTGGAGATGTAGCTCAGTGGTCAAGCACTTGTCTAACATTTGTAAACCAGTCACATCAAACCCTAGTCACATACACACACATGAAATAGAAGAGAACAATTCAAAGATTAACACAAAGATAAATGTTTAAGAGAAATGTTGATCATCCTGATTTGATCAATTACATACCATATACATGTATCTTTATCACAGTGAGCCCCATAAATATGTATAATTATTATGTATATGTAGTAAACATTTTAAAATAAATGTTTAGAAAATTTTATAGCAAGTTTGCATTGGTGGAACATTTTCATTTATTTTTCAGAAGCATCAGTCTATAACAGATTAAGCAAAAAACTGAAAGCTTGATTCTCTAGTACAATCTAGCACTAGCAGATACACCAGGGTTCACATCTCTGCCCAGTATGGGGTAACAAAAAGCTAGATGCCACCAAAATATGTAAAATGGAAAATTTTTATATGTTCATACGATAAAATGGAAACAACAGTAAAATGGAAACATTTTTATATGTTCATACAATGCAATCCAGCCCTGAAAACAAAACGAAGTGCAATATACAGAAAATGAAGTCAAGTGTCATATAAAGAAGCTAAATTAGTGCAAAAAGTTGCTGGGAAAAAGATCACTATCACTTTCAACAGTAACAATAGCATCCTACCAACATTAGATATTGAGGAGGAGCCCTCACATTGGCAGAAGGGTGAAAACAGAACCCTGAACTGACATCAACTCCCAATTTTGTGGTAGAAGACACAAAGAGTGATGGCAAGTCCTTGTCCTGGACTGTCATTATTCAGATGAGAGGGATGAAAAAGAAGAAGGCTCTCAGATATTCCCTCACGGAAGTTAGCTTTGAGGCCACAGGCAAGTCTGAATAGAAAGATAATAATTATACAGTTAACACAGATCCTCTGAACTTGGCCTTTATAGCCACCTAATGGATTCCCTTGCTGACCAAGGAGAAGACAACACCTTTGCAGATAAGCAGGTGAAGCTCAGCACAGCCCTATAACATCGGAGTGCATTACTTTTCTTGAGGACCTCAAAAGTCTAAGAGTCAATTGAGTAGTCAGAGACGCTGAAGGCCTTCATTTTATTGCAAACTTGGGCCAGGGAATAAAATGTACGCTGACATCAGACACATACATGTTTTTTGCAATGATTATCATCCTAACATCTTGGGGAAAAATAGCAAATTTAAATTATTAATGTCGTGTTCAAGCATTTTATTTCTAGGTTCTTGTATAACATAATAATAAACATTAAAATTGTTTTATCACCTCCAAAAAATGTTGAACGAAAAAAAAAATCGAGCTTCAGAAAAAGTGTAATTTCATTTACATGATCAAATTATATAGCATTGAGATAGCCTATGGGGAGATTAACAGATAGATATACAGATATGGAAGGCTATAAAGGAAATTCAGAATACTTCATTTCTCCAAAGGAGAAAAGAAACTAACTAGCTTTAGAAGTAGCAAAGAAGGAACTTCAATATTAATAGTAATATTCCAAGTTACAAGATTGGTGTTTGTTTCTATACTTTATGCATATTTTATAAAATTCAGGTTTTGATAAAAGATTAAAAAGAATTTAGGAAAGTAAAGAAGTAGAGACAGTGACTGAGAAAAAAATTTTGTGAGAAGTGTGCTGTAAATAAGAGTAATGGTAGGTAAAAAAATTTTTTTTAATATGGCATGTTTGTATTTGACAGGCTGGTGGAAAAACCAGTGACAGTGTATAGACTGAGCTATTCAAAGCAGTGAAATCTTTAATGAAAATATTGTTCAACATCTTTGCAATATTAGATTTCATGTGTATATATTGCTATGGTTTGTACCTAGATGTCCCCCTGCCCAAAGCCTCAAGCACTTTTAGATGGAGCTTTTTCAGAGGTAGCTGCATCTAGAGTATGTGATTGATTCATGGTTCAATGCTAGGATTAAGATGCTGGGATTAAGGGTGGGTGATTGCTGTATTAGTCCACTGACTAGACTGGCACCACTGTAATCCCATGAGTCTTGGATAAAATAAAAGGGGC